GTGCCGAGTGCCGTTCGGTTCAGCTTTGCAGGACGGCCTCGTGTACAAGTCGAGACGGCCGGTCCCTGGCGTGGTCTTCAGAAAGCAGGTCCTTAGCTGCCACGGAACTTCACCTGCCGCTGCCCAAGCTGGCAGTGGGGGTCTGTACTGGCGTGTTTATTGTTTTCCCCCCTTTTCTTATAGGCTGTGACTTTGTAAGACTTGTGACATGAAGTAGGACAACCTGCATTTTGAAGAGCTCCATCATCAATACAGCTGTTTCCCTGAATGTTGGCCTATTTACTGAAGACTTCCCAAAGCCTGCCCGAATCAGAACCTGTAAACTTTCTGAAAGCTTCATAATGGAGCTCTTTGTGTCCAAAAGAGATTATGCTAGATATTTGAAAAGATCTTTATTACTGGTTTTAATATGTGTAATAGTTCTTGTGTGCACTGAGCAGGACTACTATAGTTTACTTGGTGTATCCAAAGAAGCAAGCAGTAGAGAAATACGACAAGCATTCAAAAAACTGGCACTGAAGTTGCACCCTGATAAAAATCAGGTAAGAGTCATCTTTACCAGGTCAGAGTTGTTGAGTTAATGGATCTTAATGTTTAACCAAAAAGTGGTTTTAATTTGGCCGAAATGTTTCTCTGTTCTTGTGAAGAAAGGTAATACAGCTCAGATTTTCTGCAGGGAAAAGTTACAGAAGGGATAGACTGGTCATACAGGGTTGTGTTGAATTTGGGCCACACTAAATTGCTGTAGTAATAAAAAGAGGCAAGATCATTTAATTCTCAAATGTATTTTTGTAAATAAAGGAAAAGGTAGGTCTGTGCCCTGTCACCTTGTTGGGAAACCGATGAGTTTTTCTCTTTTGGTTTAGCTTACAGGAGCTTACTGTTTCCCTAACTTGGAGTCTCATCTAAACAGCAAACACCACCAGCCTCTATTGAGACATCAGTGTCCACATATCAAACAGGACAAAACAGAACTTCTGGGACTGCCCAGGCATAAGGAGGGAGGGTAATAAGGAGCTCTGGACTAACTGGAGAGAGAAGACTGGGAACAGCTCAGTCAGTGCTACCACGTTTTCCAAAGTACAGAGAAATAAGTTTAAAGGTCATCATTTTTTACTCAGAATTTCCTGAAATAATCAGAAATGTGCAGGGAGTAGGGAGGGTTGGGATCTTTACGGATGCAACTGCACCTGCGCAGAGCCCCGGAAGACAGTGATGTTCCCTATGAGCTCAGGGCCCGCCTGCACAGGGTGCATCGGAGCCTCTGCGGCTCTCGTGTTTCGAACAGGACAGAGCTCAAAGAGAAGGCCAGATCTCAACAGTTAGACATGACAACTTGTAGCTATTAGCTGCAACTTTTGTTTTGCCCGTGTTGATACCTTTCAAAATAGTAACATTTTGCGTGAGATTCTGTAGTTTCCAAGTATGCAAATACTACTAAAATACTACTACAGGCTTTTCAACAGGTTATTTTCAATGTTAAAGTTGATATATAGAAGACGAAGCCATTACACGAATTCCATAATGGTAGTTCATTTCATGTGTATCTAGGTAAATAAGTTAATTATTTAAGATTTCTGAAATAATCTTTAAGAAAAAGTGTCCTCTGAGTGAAATGTGTAAGCAGAAGTTAAAAGGGTAGGAGAGTGCTGCAGATTTTGCTCACCGCTGTCACACTGCACCCACTCAGAACCCAAACTGGGGTTCAGAATGCAGCTGAAGATTTTTCACTGTTCTAATTCTGAAGCTACATAGAACCAGAATGCTTTTTAAACCAAAAAAAGGGGGCCTCTTTCTACACAGTAAGACCAGCAGGGATTAATCTGTCCTTACGGCAGGGATTTTCAGTCTGGACGAGTGGGGATTCTAGGGGAGGAGAAAAGATTATAGAGGAATTGGTAAGTCTTTGTTCTTGAGTACTTTTTTTTCTTCCATTGAAGAAAGAGAGTTGAAAGAAGAGGGATCACTGGAGAAGGTTACAGCCGTCTACTAGTTCGCCTTGTATTTCAGTTGGTACTTAGGATGAAGAAATGGGCAGAAGATGCATCTGGCTTCAAGAGAGGAAATCCTTACTGTAGTTTGTTTGGAGATCCCTGTGTAATGTCTGCTTCCATCACAACTGACATCTTTAGTAGGGATATAAAAATATTTCCAAATATTTTCTCAGCATTATATGTACAATATGGTTTATTAATTACTTACTAATTATCGTTTTCCTTAAATAGAATGATCCAAATGCACATGAAAATTTTTTGAAAATAAATAGAGCCTATGAAGTACTTAAAGATGAAGATCTGCGGAAGAAGTATGATAAATATGGAGAGAAGGGTCTTGAAGATCAGCAGCAAGGAGGTCGTTACGAAAGCTGGCACTTTTATCGCTATGATTTTGGTAAGTTATGATGTATGTTTGTGATTTGCTTAAAACAGTCACAAGTAAATGCGATATTCAGATCTGTATCTGAATTTTTATTTCTGGTGTATCCTCTCCAGATTTGTGCCTGCTCTGTTGTTCTCCTGTAGCTGTCATTTTCTCTGTTGACCCAATCTCTTATTTACCTTGTTAATGCCTACCATAAAATACCAAAAATGTAATAATCTACTTACCTAGCCTTTTGTTCCTGCTGCTTACCTTTTTCTTGGTCATCTAACTCTTTGGCTTTGGGGTTTTTTTTAAGTGCAAAACTTTTTTTTTTCTTTTTTAAGTTAAATTTCAGTGTTAATATTTCATCAGCATTCTTTTTACGTCTTCCTGCATTAAAGAGGTTCCTCGTTTATATGAAGTATTCTCAAGTAAATTTTAAGAGGAGATTTTTGCACTGTCGGGCCCATTTTATATGCAGTTACACAATTAGAGATCAGTAAAAAGGCAGTAGAAAATGAAAAAAATATGAGAATCATACCTTAAATGATCTCGACACAAGTTATTTAATGTTTGTCTCAACAAATTTCAGGTAGTTGTAGGGTAAGGCAGGGATGAGCTGTTCTCAGACCTGTGGTAACAGGAGTAAGCTAACATAGGGAGCTGAGGAACGTGGTTTGATTGATGTGAAATAAAAAGCTGAAATGAACCTCCACCCTGGAACTTTTTTTCTGGTGTAGTTTGATATTAATATGTCCCAATCTCTAAAAAATTAGTGCCTGTGAAAATTGAAATTGAAAAAACCAGGTGCAACTATCACAGGAAAATATGGAAATTACCTAAAACTTCTTCAGATAAACAGATTTAAGAAATTTTATCTTTCTGCAGTTGCACTGCTTGATTGAGAAACAGTGTCATTGAATGTGTACTTACCAGTTGCTTGGAGAGTCTGTAAGTGTGCATGTATATAAAAGTAAAGCTGTTTTATATATATGTATGGGTGAGTGCATGTATTACATTACATGATAAATAAATGGATAGTAATACAAAAAGTACCCTGTCTCCTGTAGACATTAATTTCATTTCAATGTTTATTTGCATTTAATCCTTGTATACCTCAGGTGAAATGGCACCTCACCATGTTAGGTACTGTAAAAGGTTTTAGTGATAGTAGCGTAATAATACTGACTATCAGTATTTTTGGTATCTCTGCACTGTCCTCCTTGCGTACTTGAAGCAGTAGACGTTTGTAGCGATGTTCTAGATAGGACTGGTTAGCTTTTTAGAAAAGCTGTTTTCCTTACCTTTATTCTGTCCACTTTATTCTGCTGTGTTCACACGTTCTGTTAGTGGGAAAGCCTGCGGCTGAGACACCTTTGTGACCTAAATAGTTTGGCTGAGAGAAGCAGTGAAAGCTTCCAGGCATTACCTGTATCTTGCTGCTTGCGGAATCTTCTTGAATTTTAGTCTGACGGCTGGTTGATGTTATTTCTAATAGTCTTGCTGTTAAAAGTGCTAGTTCAAGCTCTCTGCTCAATTGGTGGCTGGCCTCCTAGAACACCAAAAGAACTTTTCTGTTCCGATGGTGGCTTTTGCAGCATGGGGACACGCAAGTTCGCAGAGATTGGACTGAGGTTACGTATCGCTAAGGAAATACAGCTTTCTTGTCAAAACTCTCTTTGCCAGCTTACTACTTCAGTCTAAGCATACCGTCTTCTGTGTTCTGTCTTGTGAATAGGATGATAGTTTTGTTATTCATTTTAAAGGTGGCAAAAATAAAAAGCAATTGTTGGTTTTTTTAATAGGTATTTATGATGATGATCCTGAAATTATAACATTGGATAGAGGAGAATTTGGTAAGTTTTAAATAAATGGCTATCTGTTTGATAATATGGAAACTCAAAGGACCAATTCTTTCATTCTAAGCTGTGTATCTGTAGACTTCTATTACATATCTATACAAAAAACTGTCAGAAAATCATCTTCAGATGTGAAAACAAAACCCTTAATGCTTCCTGGTAAAAGCTGGTTAGCAAATAAGTCAATATCAATAAACACTCTAGATTGAGTTTGAAAGGTATTTTGTGAGATCTGTAGGAGGAAATTATTAGAATTAAAATTTTGTTTCTCCCGATTTCATTACTATTTGTTTTGCTCTCATGTCTAAAAATGCACTTGATAGAACTCTTCTATTTCCCCCCCCCCCTTGTGAAATACATACAGTCAGTAGTGCCTTGCACAAGAGGTTCAGGACCAGGTGGTCATACCAGATACTAAAAACACAGCTAAGTAAAACAAGGTCTGGAAAGATGCTTTCAGTAATGACATCATCCAGGTTTTTTTTTCTTTTAAAATTACAGCTGAGATGTTTATAACTAAAACTAAGACTGGAGAGAGAAAATACTGGATTTTGTGTAATTTTTCATCTGTATTTTGAGTACAGTTTCCTTTGTACAGACTGGGTCTACATGCTGAACCAGTTTTGCAAACTGTTCCAATAGCAGAACCTCATGATGCTCTCCATGAGAACCTGTTCTTACTTTGGTTCATTGATTTGCAGAATCTACACACTCCTTAGTTGGCTTGTTTGTGAGGATATTTTAATACAGGCAACTTAGAAAATTCACTCTAAAAGTTATGTCGAAAAACAGAGAGACTGAAAGCCATGTAACCAAAGCTGATAACCTCTGTGTAGGTATTTTTTGTTGCTGCTGTTTTCTTTTACAAGCAAGAGTATTTAATTATGTTCCCCTTTGTCTTTTCTAGTAATTATATTTGTTTTTCAAATTGCATTTTCACCTATTAGACAGGGATTATATATAAAAAGATTGTCTGGTGGAACCCAGAAAAAGACATGAAGTGATAGAAGGAAATGGAAAATTCTAGTGGGTAAAAATCTTTTAGAACGTGTGTTTTGTTTTTTAAGTTAACCAGACTTACCCTATCACACATTTCATCTAGGTTAATCTGTAGAGAGTAAATTTATTCTTAATTAACAGAACAGCTGTTGAAAGTGAGGGTGCTCATATCCTCAAATATATTATTTTTGCTCACTTGTCTACAACAGCGAGTATGTGCAAGTGAGGTGCAATCTCTATCCCATCTGAGTTACTGTCTGACATAGAAATACTTAATTCAGCTCTTTGGGAAAACAATACAGTAAAAATGCACATTGTAAATATAAGTACATTGTAGATGTGCATTACTCAATTCTTTTCTCTCCATCCAGATGCTGCTGTTAACTCAGGAGAGCTGTGGTTTGTGAATTTTTATTCTCCTCGATGCTCCCACTGCCATGAGTTAGCACCTACGGTATGTGTCACAAGCAAATTAACTCTGAAAATTCATTGTTTTTAACAGCATAAAACTTAATGAAGTGGATTTTTACACTGAAGTTGAAACCAAAGACAGCAGTTAAAGATGACAGGAATAAAACATGCTGATTTCCCACCCCCTTTGTTTCTAGTGGAGGGAGTTTGCTAAGGAGATGGATGGAGTAATACGCATTGGAGCTGTCAACTGTGGAGATAATAGAATGCTTTGTCGAATTAAAGGGATTAACAGTTACCCAAGTCTGTATGTTTTCAAAACTGGAATGGTGAGTGATAAAGCTTAAATTGTTCTTAGAAAGATTGAAATCTGGAAGAGTATTTCTTTAATACTTGTTCAATCATAGATCTTCTTTATATAAAATCTTCCTTTTAATATATTATTTCCTCTTAATAAATTACTTTTTCTCTTCCTTCACCTTGGTTAAATTAATTTAGAAAGTTAACTTTAAAAATAGATAACTGGTTTATACGGTGCTTTTTTTGAATCACTTTACATTACAACATCATTTCTGATTTGGGAAGGTACCATATTTTTGACAGTGGTGCTGTAGGAAAGCAGCAGGTCTATTTGAACAGTTTCTCTGACAGTATTGCAATGGACTTTTCAAATACAAAGAGTAGTCTGTGGTTTTGAGTCTAGAGAATACGACCATGTACCTAAAGGAACTTGGAAATTCCTTCCACGAGATTGCCTCCGTGCTAGTTGCATTATTTATGTCATGCTTCATAGCTCCTTATTAGGGAGTGGTGCCAGGGGCGGTGTACGAATTGCCGGTGAGTAGCTGGGTGCCTTTTGACAATGGAAGATTTGAAAGGTTGAACGAAGAGGTTGTGAATGGACTAGTGCAAGCAATTCTTCTTCAGAATTAGATATAGAAATGTAAAAATTGGGAGGTGGTGTTTCTAAGACTAAATTATCCTTGTGCTACTGGACTTAGAAAGAAATCACATTACGAAATCTAAATAAAAATTAAATTCCAAACATTACAATATGGGAGGGAGAAAAAGGTTAGAGCTAAGGTTTGGGGCGGCGGGGGATGTCCCACAGTCGCACAAGTACTGCTATAATAAAACAGTAGGCTTTGAGGTGTGGATTGTTTTTTTTTAACTTCCTAAACTTTATTCTTTGTCTTCTATAGCAACCAGTGAAATATTACGGAGACAGGTCAAAAGAGAGCTTGAAGAACTTTGCCATGCAGTATGTTACAAGCACAGTCACTGAGTTATGGGCAGGTAATGTTCACATATTTTGCTTGGGGTGTTGTCTTGAAATTGCTTTTACAAGATAAAATATGGCAGAAACTGTGTATACAACTGTCAGCTGTTGCTTAGTGTCATTTTGAGTTTAAAATAGTAGTTTACTGTAAGTTGCTAATATAAATATAAAAGCTTCTTGTTTCGTAGTCATGTTTAACCAGACACAAACTGATGCAAATTGGTTTACTCTTAGGAAACTTTGTGAGCGCCATTGAAACTTCATTTGCTTCTGGCGTTGGTTGGCTGATCACCTTCTGTGCTGAGCGTGGGGGTAGGTGCATTAAATAATTTTCAAATAAGGCAAACAGGAAAAAAAGTACTTTTTCTGACAGTGGCATAATCCCTTTTGCTTCTAATAAAAAGTTGTAAAGCATCATAGATGATCACAGTATTTGTACTGTGGGTCATTTAAGCTCATTTTTAGAGGCAATTTGACAAAAGGGACATTAATAGAAAGATAATGCTGTTGTGCTTCTGTGATGTCACGTGAGTCACTACAGCAGCACTCAAGTGTAACCCCTCAGGAAGGGAACTGGCAGAAGAGGCCTCTGACTTCAGTTTCCAGCTCAGGCTCAAGTGACAGGTACTGCAGAGGTGCATGATGGCAGAGCAGAAGAAAGGATGTAGCTCCCCATTAAACCACCCATACTCAAAAATCAGCTGAATGTTTTCTCTAGGGTTAGGTTTGGACACAGCAGTGGCTCTTACCACTGATGGCATGACGGAGTTTAGACGTCCATTAGGTTTTGTAGCTGTTTGTCGCTGGCGTTCTTGGGATCAGTACTGGGTACAGTATAGGAAGAAATTTGTCTTGGTTACCTGGTAGAGCTAAGTAAATGTGCTACACCTTTGACAAATACAGATTTCCCAGCCTTATGAAAGGACCTTTGCTCTGTGAACTGAATAACCAGATCTGCAGTCTTGGATTTACATTTGTAAATAGCTTGATTTCGCGTTGCAGTCCTTTTGTTACTAAGTTTTCAACTTTGGTCCAATTAAAGTGAGGTTGATGATGCATCTTCTTATCTCAAAAAAACAAATCTGCATCTGAAGTTAACTATTCAAAGTCTGGGTGGGTAATGAGAGCATATGATGTATTTTTTATACTGAAAGACACAACAGTTTTTCAGTATAAAAACAGCCAGGAAGCATGCCTTTTGAAACGGTCACCTTTGTAGGAAGGAAAGGGCTAATACTAAAGAAGAGTAGGTTTAATAGTAGCATTAATAACATGAAGTTTTCTGTTTGTAAATAAATCACTTCTATTTTGCAGATTGCCTGAGTTACCAAACGCGCCTTAAGCTCGCTGGCATGTTGGTAAGCAGCATTTCACTTTGAAAGCATTACCTGTTGGAGCTAAATCAACATAACAGAATTGGAAGCATAAAGTGGTAGCCAAAACTCTCACTGCCTTTAGTGGAACCAAGATTTCACCTGTTAACTTTCGGAAGAGGGAAATATTTTGACTTGGTAGCTATTGGAATAACAATTTTTTATGAATTTTACAGAATATGAATTAATATTAACAAACTAATTACAATGTAGTCTCCTTCCATTTTCTAAATGTTGTATATAATTGCATGTTTTGGTATTTTTCAAAAGCATTTCTAAACGTGAAATTAAAAAACACTCTTTGTGTTTGCTTTTGTTGTTTTGTGGTGTGTTTGGTTTTTTTCTTGGTGTGTTTTGTTTGTTTATTTTATTTTGTTTACAGGAAGGCCTTGTTAATGTAGGCTGGATGGACTGTGGCACCCAGGGTGAGCTTTGTGATAATTTAGACATCTCATCTAGTACTACAGCATACTTTCCGCCTGGAGCCACCATAAATAATAAAGAGAAAGGAGGTGTTTTGGTAAGAGTTGTTTCTCAACCATTCCGTATTTAAATAAAGTAAGGTGATGATAATAACAAGAGAATGTATAAATAACTTCCAGATTGATTATATAGAACTGAAAAGATGCTTTTTGTTCTTTTTTGTATGCCCTGCTATGAGTCTGTAGCCCTCCTGTCTTGTCAGGCAGTGGTCTCTGGAGGCGGTCCCCAGTTTGCTGGTGTGCTGGGAGAGTGAAGAGGAGCAGGCTTGCCATAGCAGCAGCCTGTGGCTCTGCCCAGCCAGCTCCTCAGGCACCTCCCTGAGCAGCTGTGGGAATCTGGGTGTGGGATGTGCTCTGTCGCGAGCCCAAGGGCTAGTTCTGAAGCTGCTACCCAGCCATCCTGGGCAAGCTTGGGAGATTTGCCATGTGCCCCCAGTTCTTATTTCAGAAGGAATACGCCCCAGGTATCAGCAGCTGGAGAAGTCCCACTCCGAACGGAGTACTGACACGTGTGATGCAAGTACTCCTACGTTGTCTGTGGGTAGGGACTGTGCTGTTCGGCTGTGTTCGCATGCTGCGACCTCCTCCCCCGTTGGTGTGGTAGTTCCCGAATGGATGCAAGACGTCTCTCGGCTTGCAGCACAGCTTGTTCCTTTACCTTCACTGCTCTTACCTCTGTCGTTAAAAGGAGGAAGTTAAATTTGTAACCTACCTTCGCTCACCCTTTTAACTCTGACTTACTGATTCATATTACTTCCTAAATTAAAAAAGTTAGTGAAGCTTAAATACCTGTACAGTGCAGTTAAAGAAGGCTGTAAACCAGACTGGAAATCTTGTAAACGTGTCCAGAAAATTTGGTTTTAAATTTAGCACGTTTTGACAAAATACAACTTGAGTTTAATATTGTGGAAAAACAAGCTAAAAAGCAGTATTCTGAGAAATTTGTGAAACTATATATATGAAAAAGAAGTTGACCAAATAAATTATTATTGACTCTGCTCCTCAGTTGATGGTTAATAAGAAATTGGAACAAGTTCTCTGATTTTTGGAGAACAATCATCAACAATCAGGCTGATGTTTGTAATTCCTTATAATAAACACAGCTAACTTTCCTTCCTAGTTTCTTAACTCTTTGGATGCCAGAGAAATATATCAGGAAGTAATGCAGCATTTGCCAGACTTTGAAATGATCTCTGCAGCTTCATTAGAGGTAATTTTTTTTAAAACTATGTTAAGATTTCTTTTAATCGTTACTTTTTACATTTTTAAATCCTGTTGATACAACCACCTAGTATTTATTTAACTGAAAATTACTCTTCCCTCCACCCCATAGCCAAAATTATTTAACATTGTCTACATTTACTTCTGTTTAGCAAAACAATAAAAGTAAGGGGAGGGGGGAGCGTGTATATTTAATAGCAAAATAGAAGACCACAGAAATTACCATTGTAACTCACTCTGCAACTGCAATTTACTCGTTGATTTTTAAATCAGCTACATTGTAGAGAATTTTAAATTTTAAATTTATTTTGTCAGTAATGTAAGAAAGAAAAAAATACTTGTTAATCCATGAAAAGTGACGTATGAACTGAAATTAGGAGTCATAAAAGTTACTCACGTCTTGGAGGAAAAGAAAGAGGAAACCACTTGTCACACTTGTAGCGCTCGGCAGGCTGATCTACAGCGGGAAGCGCACATGGACACAAAGTGTAGTGGATAGCATGTGGCCAGCTTGTCTTCCAGCTTTTTCCGCTTTCCCGCTGATGAAGCAGGAAAGTTTAGTGGAAGGGCTTCATGAAAGAATTTGTTGAATGGAGGTCACGCAGCATTGAGATGAATAATTGGGCATTTGCTTTTGTGAAAAGTAAAGGCATTTACAAGTTGGTAAATCTGGGAATAATATTTTTTTCTCCAGTGTTCTTGATGTTCGTTGGTTGGTTTGTTCTTTTCCTTTGCTTAAAGGACCGTCTGGCTCATCACCGATGGCTGCTTTTCTTCCAGTTTGGGGAGAGTGATAAGTCAAATACACAGGAATTTAAGAAACTTAAGTTTTTACTTAAAGATGAACATATTCAGGTAGGTCTGCTCACTCATCTAGCAGGAAACCACTGTTGAACAAGTCATTATCATTGTCAGTTACTACCACCTGCCACCTCGGGTACTGAAAGAGAGGTACATTTGCAGTGAAGCTTTTAAGGCAAACAGTGAAGTTTCCCATACAATCTGATAATTTAGAATTAGTTAGGAAATACTGTCTTTTAAATCTGCTCACTCGTGGGAAATGTTGCTGCAGATCCCACTCAGAAAATAATTAAAAGTTAACACTTCAGCATCAAATTGATGTATGTGAAACTGCATTTTAATTACACAGAAAACCTTATCTTGAACATTTTCTTAATAAAAAGGAACCAAATTCAAACTTTGTACTAAAGACAGATGGAGTGTGTCCTATGAGGTATGTATTTTTAAAAATTGTTGCATTGACTACAAGAATTTTAATGTCACATTTATTTTTAGGTGTCTCTGCTTCCTTGCTATTTTGTTTGGAGGGGGGAAAAAAAGAGGATTCTTTTAAGGTTTTATTCCCTGTTTTGGCCTGTAAAAAATAGCAAATGACCTAATATAGCTGTGCTAGTATTTTTCTTCAAACATCAGAGTTACAGGATTGTCTTACACAATGTTTGTTTATAAAAAGGCTATCACTTTTCCATATTTTTACCTTTTTTCAATTAACCTATTTTAACTCTTACTGCCTTTCAAAATATTTTAAATCTATATAAATTAGGATGCCTTAATTAAAATGACACTGTGTATTAAATAGGTTGGCAAGTTCGACTGTCTTTCCTCACCAACCATCTGCAACAAACTGTACGTCTATCAGCCTTGTTTAGCTGTCTTCAAAGGAAAAGGAACCGGAGATTATGAAATCCATCACGGTAAGGGAAACTTTGGCAAGTTTAAATCGTTACGTAATCACTTTGAGGTGACGCTGTCTTTGGCAAACTTCATTTGTCTTCCCAAGGAACAGATTTGTAGTTTTAGTACTTGCTTTTGTATCTCTGACCTCACTGCAGCCTTGCACAAACTTAATCATTTCCTTTTGATTTTGGGGTTTTTTTCCCCAGGTAAGCAGTAATCAGAAGCCAATAGATGTATTTTGTCTTTACTGTTCTATTTTGGTGTCATTTACATAATTACATGCAAATAAATCTCTGACGCTGCTAGGGACAGCTTCTGCTTTGGGTAGGATAACCAAAGAATGCTGTAAGGCAGCACACGCTTCGTGGAGGCTTAATGTGCTAGTTATATATACAGCGCTGCCAACTGGAGAAACATGGATTTGATTTCGTGTGCCACTGCGCTACAACTGATTCCACATTTTGTGGACTTCCATCCAAGAAAATCTATACTGAGACTTTTACCACTCACCTTCATGTCCAAAGTAGCAGTTTCCTTCCAGGAAAGGTTGGAACTAGGTTACAGTGTAGCACTGAAAGGACCCAGAAATGCTGGTTGAAGAATGGCGCCTGAGGCAGAACTGTAGCTTGTAACAATAGGTGTAGCTTCATCCAGAATGTGGCACAAGACAGGATGAGGTTCTCATTTTTCTGCTCTGCAGTATTAGAAGCAGCTTCCTTGAATTAAGTCAGAACCTTGGTACTGTAATAAAGAAGAAAGGAGAAAAGTTTTTGACCACTTAGGAAAGATGGGTAGTGTCTAAGGAGGGAAGATCATCCCATACATCTAACTACTGCTCTCAAGAAAAGCCTTATATACTCTGAAATTTCCACTCCTGCAGAGAAGCCAGAAGGGTCATACACGTACAGCATTTTTAGATCCTTTTATAGTGGCATAGATTCCAAACAGTGTAAGAGAAATACATTGGACTGCGGTACATGCATTCTTTTCTGAAGGGTTTGGTTTACTGTTTATGAAGTAGATGGCATCTAGAATGTTTGCCAATAGTCACCCCACTCCAGTGTATATAACAATGTAATACTCAATAAGCTTTTTTATGTGCTGTGTTGAAGGGCTTTACCAGTTTAAAAATCTAAGAACGGTAATGAATCCCAAGTCATTGTGCAGTGACTTCAGATTTAATTACCCTAAAGTTCTTGCTCTCAGTTCATTTTAAGACACAAACTCTCTGCTGACAAATGGCTACATGAAGGGTATGAAGACTTTGTCTTTGCCCACTAGACCTGTGTCAGCAGGAGCTTCAGTTACACTTAAAAAGCTGTGATTTATCAATATAATTTACTTTCTTTGAAGCCTTCACTGTGTCAGTACCTTTTCCAAGAAAGTGTATCTACAATAGTAACTTAAATTCCAAGAAACAGTAGTAAGATGGTAAAACAGCCAGTAGTCCAGTCACAAAAAAACCCATTCATTGTGTTTGAGGAAAACATATTTTATCTTGGATAAAACATTTATTTGACTAATAATAGGTAGATGTGTACTTTAGTATTTAGCCAAATATCAACTATCACCCTGAGTGTGTCTTAGTTATGTAGGTTTGGACAGTTTAACATTGTCTCCCTGAGAAAAAGCAAGCCAGTACCTGTTTGATTTATTTAAGTAGGCCATGTTTAAAGATCAGTCAAGGGAACCAAAGGACTCCTCTTGCTATTGCTGATTTTATTTTTTTTTTTAAATGAGACCTCTCATAGGGAAAAACAAACTTTTCTTTCTACATCCTTCTTTGAAGGAAAGAAGATCTTATATGACATTGTGGCATTTGCCAAAGAAAGTGTCAACTCTCACGTTATCACACTGGGACCTCAGAATTTTCCTGACAAAGAAAAGGAACCGTGGCTTGTGGATTTCTTCGCACCGGTAAATATTTAATACCTATTATTTCCCTTCTTCTAAAGTCGGATGTGTAACTATGTAACAACGCACTAGCACTGTCTTGAAAGTGTCCTTCAGCATCGTGAGATGGTGTCATAATTTCTCATTCCCTGGGAGCACTAGTTCCTCGACTCTGTAGTTTCTGTGTAGGAGCCTGTTGTCGAAGCAGCGTATTACTCCTCTCAAACGGCTGACGTTCTCCTGAGAGCCAGCGGTGGGGAGAGCAATTGTGCTTACTTGCATTTTGTTTTCTAGTGGTGTCCTCCTTGTCGAGCTTTGTTACCAGAGCTGAGGAAAGCATCAAAACATCTTTATGGTCAGCTTAAATTTGGAACACTAGACTGTACCGTCCATGAAGGGCTTTGCAACATGGTAAGCTGAAGGAACCAAAAAACCAACAGTCCTTTCAAAGAGTATTCTTTTGTTCTAGGTGGGGGCTGGGGGCACGCTGTGCTTGTTCTTTTACTATTCATTTCTTAAAGGGTAGTAAGCCAAACAGGACACTCATATAATAATTTTTTGGGTGTGGTTGGTTTTTGTTTGTTTTTTTCAGAGGAACAAGCTATGTAACCACTACAGATAATATATTAAGAGAAAATACGGTCACATTTTGCTCTGATTTCATAGTGTTATTGGAAGACTCTGGAACTGCCAGAATATAATAATTCTTTTGGAGGGGAGGGGAACATGGTGTTTAAGAGAAAAAAATTGGAGCAGACCCAGAGCAGTTTTGTAGTGTGTAGATAAATATGTACATGCATTCTTTTTGTCTTTGCATAGGAGGGGAAAAAAAACCCACCAACAGTAAAACATTTAAAAATACAAATTTTATGCTGAGATAAATCTTTCTGAAGATCTCTGCAAAATCACTTCTAATTCACTTTGCTTTTTGTTTTGTAGCACTTAAGAAGTGCAGGATCAATTTCGAAGTAAAAGTTTATTACTTATCAGTTTACATTTATTTATAGTAATGGAATGTTTTTTGTTTTTTCTGTTTTTTTAATCTTGCCCTGTTTTCCATGTTTAGATTTGCTTAACTTTTGCTTCAGTTAATATCATGATAGAAATTATTGGCATCACTTTTCCTGGATTCCAGGAAATACTACTTCTTGACAGCTTTCTTGCAAGTGCAGATTTTATTGTTCACAAGAACTTTTTATTTTAGAATGTTTGTATTTAGTTGTAAAATGTGAATGTCTTAAAGCAAACGAAGAACGAGCAAAAAAGAGCAAACTTTTTAAAGTTCTATTTAATGATGTGTTGACACACTGAAAAATTCAAAACATGGAAGCACCTGTGTTCAATAGTAATCAATACTGTTATTCGTAAACTAGAAGTGTTTTCACCTGAAGGCTTGGGAGTAGCTTTAAAGTTAAGGCTTAGAAGACCCGTGGATTAATTCCTATATTTGTGGAGCATGGCAAAGGAACTACTGGCTGGTTTTTACATTCAAAACAATCTATACCATCTCTGAATCCAATTGGCATCTTTCCTGTACTGGTTTGTAATGGTTTCAAACTCCTGTGTGCATGTCAGTGTGAGCAGCTGTACTGCACCCACTGGATAGGTAGCACCTGGGAGCCCCCAGTACTGCTGGCAGTTAAAGGAAAGTGCAGGAAACCTAATAATTCCTTGGTGTTTCTTACTGTCTGTTTTGTTAGCATAACATTCGAGCTTATCCAACAACAGTTGTGTTCAATCAGTCTGACATTCATGAATATGAAGGACATCACTCCGCTGAGCAGATCTTGGAGTTCATAGAGGTACGTGAAACGGTCCTTGTTGCAGTCGTGCTCTGTACGCAGCCCATCCATAAACGTGTTCTTCAGTTGGAAGTTTCTAAGATTAATATTTTTGTTTAATTAATTAGACAAGTAAGATGAGTGCAGAAACTTTGGCTGAGGAAAGTGGTCCAGCAACTGCCAGCTGGGGACTTAACACCTAGTGGATTGATTTCCCTATTCTGTCAAGTAATTGCTTTGAGAGCATTAGCAAATAACTTCCCTTCCAGTCTGCAAAGTAAGAGTAATGTTCTCTGTCTCATAGAGATGATAAAGGAATTGAAAGTATGAAGTGCTGTAATATTAAGGTGAAAATGCCTCACATCCACACTTGGACACAGGAGGAGGTTCACACTTTTGTCACTTAGCTTGCTGCCTTCCATGCTTCTCAGCTGTTTCTTGAACTTCCTTAACTCGCAGAACTGCACATCATTGGTACTCACCATGGTTCTGCCTGAGTTCTGGTGCCCGTTTTGGCTCCAGCATGCGGGTTCTCTCACTGCTACATCCGCAGGCTATCCTCCACTCTTTGGAGGGACTGTTTGTTCCCTCCGGGCAGAAGCAGCAGGTTTAAGAGCACACATGCAGGAACAGGTGGAGATCAGTCTTCCCTGTTGATATTCAGAGGCCCCTGGGGCACCACATATGTTCTGCACCCCAGCCTAAACAGCACGGCTGAGTCTCATAATGCCTGTTCTTGCCAGGTCAGCTGAATTTCTTGACTTTGCCTCACTCAATGGAGAAGAGGCAGAAAAACCTCCTTTTTGCAGCCTGGCTCTATTTGTTTTGATAGCTCTTTTCAGCAAATCGGGCATATGGTTGCTAGGTCAAAGGGATGACTTCTGATGCTCCCATGCCCTGTGGTGGTGTGGAGTCTTCCCTACCACAGCAGCCAGTTTCTTTAGAAGAGGGATGTTCTCAGGATTTGGTACGGTCTGTCTATATGTGAGGGCGATGGATACGGGGTAACTTATGGTTGCAAAGCATACGCCTATAAATGGTCTTTACTTTAGGATCTTAGGAATCCATCGGTGGTCTCCCTAACACCAGAGACATTCATTGAATTAGTTCAGAGAAGAAAACGAGAGGAAATCTGGATGGTTGACTTCTACGCTCCATGGTGTGGACCTTGCCAAGCTTTAATGCCAGAATGGAAAAAAATGGCCAGGGTAAATGACACTGAAACACTTCTTTCTGCTTTTGTGTCCTGTTCTGTGGAATTAGTGAGACACTACAACTGCTGCCATAGAGACTTGGCAGATGAGAAGGTCTAGTGATCAGTATTGCAGGCAACACAGGGAATTCCTACCTGACAGTTTTATTTCAAAATTTGTTTCAAATACAACATTTCTCTTTGTTTTCTTTTTTAAGGGTTTGGAACACGGATACTGTAATCCAGTTTTTCCTGTTGATACAAGTGTGTTTTCCAAGATCTAAGTAACTTTAGAGTAACTAACTTTCCTTGATGTTTAGTGCTTTATATAGACAACAGCACTGCATTTGTTTAAAACAACATATGAAAACAGAATTATCCATAGATTAGATAAGAACTGGTTGAAATAATTTGCCACTTTATTCTCAGTATTGGTTATGGTCATTAATCATTAGACCTTGGTGAGACCTCTGACTTGAATTCAAGATTAAAGGAGGTCAATCTTACCCAGCTTACTTATTTCCTATATTAGGAAAATTTTTCCTGAGATTTTCTTCTTCACTGAAAGTAATTAAATATGAAATACCATACACTTCAAGGCTCATGGCCAGTTAGCAGAATTACACATCCTTCAGTATGGAATTGTTGGGACTGGGGAGGGTGGTTTTGTTTTGCCAGGGCAAGACAGCGTCCTCACATTTGCAAAGGTACTACTGCTTTACTGACACCTAGCTGGGTTTTCCTGGACGCGTTTCCAAGAATTTGAACTAGAAACTTTGAGGAAAAAATCCAGGCTTTGGAATCAAGCCCATGACTTTCAGATGTTTAGAACTGGCCTAGCTAGAACTAGGAATTCTAGCCAGGATTCTATATTCTGGTCAAATGCCTGTGAAGTATTATTAGCTCTGTAGTACGCATCCAGTAATTGACGGCTTCCTTGACCATGCCATGTGGTTTGGGGCCTTTGCAACAAATACAGCTTGTTCAAGAGACCAGCCAGCTGTGCAACTGATAGCATATCTGCACCGAACCAGGATCTGTTGTAATGACTGAGCCTGGGATATGGAGCATGGTAATATGGCAGTCCCTGTGCTAAATAATGTGTGCCTTTAAGGGAAGGGAGGTGCCTCATGAGCCATGTGCATGATGGGAATGTACCCAGGAGACAGCAGTGTCCCGTTTGCTGGAAAAAAAGACAGCCTTACGATAATCTTGGTTTGTTTTGTTCCCTGACTTAAGACTTAAATTCTGAAGTGTTACTTAAGTAATTTTGATCAGCATGTCTGACTGTAGGTTTTCTCTTTTTTCAGATGTTAAACGGATTAATCAGTGTAGGCAGTGTGGATTGTCAAAAATACTATTCTTTCTGTCACCAAGAAAGTGTTCGGGGATATCCTGAAATAAGGCTCTTTCCTCAAAAATCAAACACAGCTTATCAATATCAGTAAGTAGTTTAGGAAATGTTAAGTGATGTGTAATGAGATGAATCTACACCTTCTCTTATGTAGAACAGGTTCATCACAGCTGTTAAAATAGGCTGTTACGATATTGCTGTCTTAGATGTTACTGACCCCCTTACTTCAGACCAGTGCCATTGGATTTTGCCTCTTCATTTCAGCAGTTTGAACTGAGGCTGCCTCAGGAATCTTAATTTTTATTTCTTGTTCTCGATCGATTGCCAGTTTTCTAATTGCCTGTTAAAGTAGATGATTTAAAGCCTATCATATAAAAACACTACTAGGTCTAATTGATTCTAGCTTTATCTTTAGAGAACAGAGTGGTGTAGCCATCTGATCATCCCCCCTGCCAACTGTCTGTTAGCACCATTGCAAACATTTTCTGTCGTGTCTTGTCATCCCATTCGTTATCATTAGTGTGGAAACATTAATCATTAACAGAACAAAACAAAACAAACACAGGGAAAATGAAATCTGCCCAAAACCAAACAGCCTGTCCCCTCCATTTCACAGCACTGTTTGCAGATACAGCAACTTCAGGAAGCACATATATATTTAAAGATAGACCATCTGAAATAGCTTCAGTATTTGACAAATGGTAAAGTGCTGGCAGATAATAAATTTCAATGCCTCTTCATCCTAGTACGTAATAGCAGACCTGAGTAGCTCTCCTCATGGAACTGCTTGCTTTTATTTTCTTCTAGATAAAGCTTCTCTTAACAGCAGGTGGGTTTTTTTCTTGTTGAAAATAACTAAGTTGATGAGTGTGACTGTTAGGTGCCAAATTCCTAAGCCAGAGGCAGCTATTTGCTGTAAAAACAGGTAAATTTATCTCTTAAAGATCACGAAAAACTGTGAAGTCAGATTTTGAGCAGGTAACTATTGAAAAATACTTAGTTTAAAGCCGTGAATTAGTGGACATGAATCCTGAATTAATGGTGTTTTCTAACCTGTCACTGGAATTTCAAAACTAAGCAATGCCCTGAAAAATCCAGATAATAAATCCTTGTCCAAGTAACCAGCTTCTCTGCCTTTCCTACTGTCAGTGAGGGAAATGTATACAATAAATAATTGCTTTATTGTAGTGAATGAACATCCAGTAGAAAATACATTGAGATATTTCAGTTTGATTCTCATGTTTCTTAGAGCATGCAGTTTTGTCGGGATCTGTTACCAAAGATCCTTCATTCCAAGTAGTTCTAGCTATCAAAGCTGATGTGCTCCAAGCGAAGTTTCTGGCTTTCTGGACACAGAATTTTTCTCTTCATCTTCTAGTCCTTAATTCTGTGTCTTTGATTTGTGTTAATGAAACTTATTTATCCAGATGTGAAAGCAAGGTAGAAATAGATCCCAAAAGATATGTGTTTAAGTTCATTATTTCATCATCTCCAGTCTACGGAGTGTTTTGGTTTTGTTTGTGGGTTTTTTTTTTTCCCCCCCAATGCAACTGGATTTTTTTCTTTTTAATCTTTTTATAGTAGCTACAACGGGTGGCACAGAGATGCATATTCACTGAGAGGCTGGGCACTGGGGTAAGTTACTGCATTAAACGCTGTTCACAAGCTGCTTCTATAATTTGCTTGGAGAAATTGTAGCTCAAGAATTAGAAACAGGTATATGTATTCTTTCATTTATGATGTTCAAGTTTCCAAGCTTTTAAAATGTGGAGAAATAGCATACTTGCTGCTCTGCATCCATTTTCTGAAGACCATGTTTTTATTTTGTATGTGCTTCTCCTGTGGTACCAAGTATAGGGATTTTCAGGCTACTAATATTCTTAATTTCAGAAATGTTTTCAGGTGCTTATGTGGAATTTGGATATGTTTAAAGTTTGGAATGGGCTATGACTCTTATTCCTCCTTTCCGCAGGTATTTACCACAAGTGTCTGTAGACCTGAGTCCTCAGAGTTTCACAGAAAAAGTTCTGAATGGAAAAGATCACTGGGTCATTGATTTTTATGCTCCTTGGTGTGGACCTTGCCAAAGTTTTGCTCCTGAATTTGAGATCCTTGCAAGGGTAGGGCTTTAACTGCACTAGTAGTGTGTTATGCTTGTAATGGGTAAAACGTAATTCATTGGCACTTTATTTCTTAGCGTAGGCCAGTGCTTCTCCTTCTCACTGAAAGTCCTTGCTTTCAGGTCCCACTTGCCAGTGGGCATTCTCTCCTGCACTGACCCTAGCTAATGACAGGGCCACCTTTGGAACAGAGATGTGCTTTGCCCTGGATTGAAGTAGAATTGCTCTGTGGAGCATGTCCTGACTTCTGATCCAAGTCTGAGGAGCAAGCAAGCAGCTGCTATGAGATGTTTAAAAGATGTGCAGTTTTTCGTTTCCTTTTAGCTGCACTGCTGGCTTACTCAACTTACTTGCTTACGGTCACCCATGGAAAGGGGAGGTTTGTTTCTAATAAACGTTTCTTTTTAGACCGTTAAAGGAAAAGTGAAGGCTGGAAAAGTAGACTGTCAGATGTACTCTCAGACCTGTCAAACGGCTGATATCCGAGCCTACCCTACTGTTAAGTTTTACCCCTACCAAGGAGCCAAGGTAAAGTGTCTCCTTTGTGTGTCTCCGCTGGTGAGCGGGGACTGTTGGTACATGTATTTCATCTCACAGTAAGGCTTAAGAGACTAAAATGTTACAGAAATGAAGTGCATTGTTTAGATATTTGGAAGCTAAAATAATAATAAATGTCAGTAATATTTAAAATAGTAGGACAGGGATACAGTAACAATGTGTTACTGAAAACCAGTAAATTGTAAATTAATGGAACAGTAACTAAAATGTGGCTTAACAGAACCACGGTTTAATTGTGCAGGAGTCTCATGTGACAAAATGGGGTTTTTTCAACCTTTACCAGTTCTGCTACCAAAAGTAGGCAGAGTCTCTCTCAGTGAAATGTGGACAACTTCATTTTGGCTAAGGAGAAACAATCTTCCTATTTAATCATAGCATGTCATTTTAAGTTTGACTAAAATACTGTATTTTAAGATAGAAAATAGATTAAAAATACTTAGTTGTATTTTGTCTCAAACAAAACTTACCAAACCATTTCAGTTATCACTGTGTCTCTCGGAGATCAACATTTCCTACTAACAGATTAGTAGTAATAAAATAAACAACTGAAAAGTATCTAGATCTAGGAAACTGTTCATTTTGTAAAACCATTACATTTCAGGAATATTATAGTCATCTTTTTAAATATTAATGCTGAAGAGAAAGTATTCAATGCATTCGGATAGTTGAGCCAATTATTTTAATTATATTTTCTGTTTCTTTTTTTAACTGAATTTCATATGGAAGTTCTAGAAATCCTTCCTCATGCAATTTCATCAAATTAAATGAGACTTTTCTGTGGTAAAGAACTAATGACTTTTCAGGTCTCAAAATCTGTCAGTGTGGGTCAGTAATTTAATCAACATAGACTACAAAGTGGCAGACTTTGTCTCACATTTTATTCAGCTAGGTATTTTATGCAGACATCCATGACAATTATAACTTTCAGGTTTCTTTAAGGATCAAGACCAAATTCATGTAGTTCAAAACCTATGTGGTTTCAAAAGCCAGCAGCTAGGAGCAGTTCTAACTATAACAGTGATTAGTGTTTATGAATCATAAATCAACCTACTGGAGCCATTGTCTTTCTCTCTGCCTTCCTCTTAAATTTCATCTGAAAGTAAGCAGATTTTCTTGTCACTGTAGAGCATGGGTGATGTATTAAGCTTTTTTATTTATTTATTTTAAAGAAAAGTGTTCTCGGTGAATATATAGACAGCAGAGATGCAAAAGGTATTGCTGACGTTTTGAATGAAAAATTAGAAGCAATTCAGAATAAAGGAAAAAGAAAAAAATCTAGAAATAAGGTAAGAATACTTACTGGGGGGGGTCTTTTGTAAAAGACACATTATTGTAACACACAGCCCTTTAAAACAACGTTAGCATTTGCCCTGTGTTGGGGACATACAAACGTCCTATCATCAAGCAGCACCACGTACCCTTTACTTCCAGTCTAGTTTTAGCTGCTGCTATTTATGCAAACTCAGTTCTCCACGTCCAGGGATGCAGCGGAGGATACTGCAGCTGCACCATCAGTTCGGGCAAGACTTAGCAGTCTTACAGCTCGCCGTGGGCCAGCTGCGTTGCGGGTGGATGGTTGAGAAGATGCACCATGGCCTGAAGTGTAACCCTTGGGCCAGATTCAGAGAGCATGCACCACGTTACAGAGGCTGATTAGTGCAAGATTGGGATTGACATTTCAATGTCAATTGAAAGGAAGAAGATACCAATACAGCTCTTAAGAAGTATCCTGGATTCTATTTAGGAAACATTTGACCAGTTGAAAAATCCCTACCACAGAGAAATTTAACTGCTTTTTTTTTTCTGTGATTTTATCTTTGAAGTTATTCTGCAAGTACACATAATGTTTATTTTCTTGTCACTAGGATGAACTCTAAGTGGTACTGGAGGAAGAGATGACTAAATGTACTCTGAAGCTGTGAATACAGAAGATACCACAAGGAAAATATAAGGCTGATTACACTCATGATGGGACAAGAGAGATGAAAGCGAGTTTGAGGTCACGGGCATATCTGACCGCATGAATTCTGTTTAAACTGCGGGGAGCAGTTTGGGTGGAGGCAATCAGTGTTTCTGCAAATGAATTCTGCTTGTCCCTCTTCTGATACACAAACTACCTTCTTCCTAGTCAGACCTTGGAGTTGGCCAGAAATGTGGACTGTATCGCTTTTGCCTACCCATTTACTAGTTCCTTATATTTTTCTGTCTCTCTTCAAACACTTTTTGAATGTGGCGCTCAGCCTATGGCTGAATATGCACTCAAACCACTCTGCAATGCAGAAATGCAGTGAGGGATTGTCTGGTTGAAAGACCAACAGTTTTACCTGATGGTTAGTCTGCTTTGGGGTTCCATTATTGTCTACTCAGTTGCTAAGAAATAAAACCAAGAATTGGTAGCAGGATAGGCTTATTGCATTACATTGCTCCTGCCCTTGAGTGGATTACTGCATTGTGGCACTGGTGGCTGGAGGAACAGAACTTTGAAGAGCTTCTTCGGTTTGGGTTTTTTTTATTTAAAAAAAGAAAATAATCAAAAAAAAAAAATCAAGGACTTCAAACTCACGTGTTTCATTGGCTTTCAAAGATTAAAGTTATGCCATAGAAGCATTTAAGGTCATACCTTTATTATTGTCCTTTTAAATACGAATGTATTCTGTGGACATATTTAACCTCTTTTGGTATTACCACTTTTCCTTTCTCTGCAGACATGTTCGGGGGGGTTTGTTTGGGTTTTTTTATATAATCTTTAGGATAGCAAGTGCCTTTTTTAATTTAATAATGAACACTGTACCTTGCAATGTCCCCTCATACATCCAATTAGAATTCCCACTCACTTTAAAGTAACTTTTTTTTTTTTAGCTTTTCCATAGACAAGAAAAATTGTAGATGACAAACTGTCTACTGCATTTAAGAGTTCAAGGTTGAAGTGTTTGTTTTCAATAAAATGCTGCTGAGAATGTGTCAGATGGACTTTTCTCCCTGTATTTAGATTTGGCCTGACCAGTCACTGAAGCATGAGTGTTAGAAATTTGTAATTTATTTTATAAAGAAGGCAGCAAGAAATAAAAGGAAGAGATTCTAGTAACTTTAAGACACTCAAATACATCTTCCCTTACATTCAGGGTTGCCTCTATTGCTTTCTGGTTTTGCAGTGTACTATGCTGAGAAGGAGGAGAGGGTATGGCGTCTATTTTTCAATAAAGTAGATCTTCCCACACCCAAATCAATTGTCAAACATGAGAATTTTGGTATTTTGTACTTAGATGCAAACCCTTTTGGCTAGTTTTTGCATGTACATAACTAACTCCAGTTCCCACCTTTTTCCTAGAGAACAAGGTCATAGTTACATACTCTTCAAAATCTAACCAAAAATAACCCAGTATAGGCATTTGTACAGTTTCTTTATTTCTGCTAACAGGAACAGAGTAGTAGGACAAAAAAAAAAAGGTGCTTCACAGCAGTCTCCTGTTAAGATGAAGGTAGCATAAAGCAACTTTTTACAAAAGGCTGAAGTATCACTTTCTTGTGGTTGAGTCACTTGAAGCATATAGATAACTCCTATGAAGAGACAACACTAGTATCCTCCTCAAAACAGCCTCTACATGGACTTGTTTTGTCCACGGTACTAGTTTTGATACCCATGTAGGCTGTGGGGAAAAGATTTAGTTCAAGTATCAGTAAAGTGAATTTTTAATTCTGTACTATGATACTCTTTGCATCCTTTTTTTAATTTCTGAGCTAGAGACTAAATGGATGTGTACAGGGGAAAAAAATTATCTTCAGAAAGAGAGAGCGAGCTGTAGCTGATGTAGATTTCCAATATGTTTTCCCAACTTTTAATGGATTTTTTTGCCAGCTGCCCTTTATGAGAGTTTTCAATAAGTAGCTTTGGGAAATGCAGTGAGTAATAAAATCCTGCTTTTATTCCTAGCCATACACATAAATAAAGCCTTTTATACATAGTTGCATCTCCAAACGTCTCTAAAGACAAATGCATGTAATTACATGATTCAATTTTTACTAGTCAAGGGTTTAAACTTGTTATTGAAGGCACTTCTTGAGCAGCCCTGTTTTTAAATAAGTGCATCTTGTAGTAGCCAGGCCCCTCAATTCTCTCCTGTAGAATCAGGGAGGTGTGTGTCAGCACTGGCCTCATTCTTCAGAAGTTAAATTATTTAAAAAAAAAAACCCAAAACCAACACCAACAAAACCAAACTGCCACCGCACCACAAAAACACACCCAGAATAATCAAAAAATCTCAAACTGCCATGAAGATTTGTATTGGTCAACAGGTATTTCTGAATATATTCCCCCACCCCAGTGCTAAAATGCCAAACAGTTTAACATAAGTTCAGTAACTGTTTTGATAGTTAAAAGCTCATTTAATATTTTAAAAAAGAAATACCTTCAATTCATGTATCCAAGCAATGAATGTAGTGGAAGATGAATCTGAAATAGTACACGAACAACTGCTCCATTTTTAAATAATGTTCCATCACTCCTCAGTCCCCCTCTCTCTTCCCCAGAGTAGCTTTGAACTGTGCTCTCATCATGTGACCAACATCATTCCATTTCTCCCTGCAGATGGTGCTTATTAGCCCTTACTCCTCGCTCTTTCCTAGCACCACTCCGGTGTGACTGTTCAGCCGGGTGAACAAGTGTGATGGCCTGTGGTGTTTGACAGAACCACAAAACAGCTCAAGTCACAGCAGGGCACCACCACTCTCCAGGGCCTCTGTTGCTTAGGTCTTGCCAGGAAATTAAGTAAACAGTGGTAGCCTTGCCAGATTTCCCAGGTTACAAGCAGCAGGCCATGAAGCTGGCCTTGTAACTTACTGTGACTTCGGGACCACGTGCAGGTAACCAAAGGCTAAAAAGCTTGAAGGGAGTATTTCTCAGTAGTTTACTACTTCAGCTAGAGACACTCTTACCTGTTTTGGAGAGTTCTGTTTTTTCTTTCTAACTTCAGTGGTATTTTGTGCCTCTGTCTCCCACCTTCTCTGTCAGCTTCATAAGTGAAGCACCACAAAATCTTCAGAGCTGAAGGCAGGATTATTCTGTTTCTGGCAGCCAAATCACACCTCTCCGTAAGAATAACTTTGCAACATGATAATTGGCATAAATCAGCTTTTATACTCTTCTCTCATATTCCTCTGCTGACGTGCTTGCTTTTTGACATGCTCACTATTTTCCCCATGCAAGTCATCCCCAGCACTTCAAAGGTGAGGCTGTAATTACTAAGCCTAGACGTCTCTCCTGTAAAACAGCAACGAGATTTCACAACTCTTCTGACACGTTTACACGTAGAGCCAGTTCTGTCATCCCGAGAGCATTGGCAGCACTGGAGCTTTCACTACCAAAGCTCTGTTCTTTTTCCTCAGGGCTCCCCACACCACAGCTCCTGCATACCTGGCATATTTCTCCTGTTTGCAAAACTTGTTTATTTAATTCAGCTGTAAACAACTGCATAGAGTGAGAAGACAGCTGGCTGAGGCTGCAAGGACTACAGACTAGTTCAGGAGCCTTCAGCTTAAGAGCAGAGACCTTGTGTCAGGTAATTCTGATAACACCAGTTTACCTACAGAGGTCTGCGAGCAAGGCCCCCAGCAGAGAAGCTGCCTAAATCACAGAAACAGAGGTGCAGCGAAAGCAGCTCCACAAGTGACAGACCAGTGGGGAAGGATCTCACCTAAGGAAAACATACAGAGGGAATAAGGAACTGTCTGGCTGCTAACTTCGCTTTTCAGGTATTATTGCAAGCTACTGTTAAGAGTTAAACAGAGAAGCAGCCTCCAACAGGCACAGGCTATGTAAATAAGAGCGATTGTGTAGGATGACAACCTTGTGCCTTTGGAAACACTCAAGAACACTGACTTTGTGGTGTGCAAGAGACTAGCTTGCTTGGAGCTCTGCAAAGCTTAGACTCAGTATGTAAAATAGTAATTCACAACCAGGGATGTTTCAGCATTGCTTCTCATCATTTGAGCTATGCTTGCTTAGATAAACTCACCTGGCAAGTGGTGATTGCACGTAATACAGGTAAAACCATTAAGTTTTAGATTTTGAGTTTTATATTCTAGGAACCAATAAGTCCCCTTCTCAGAAGGAATGAATAACAAATAATTTTTAAATTTAAGAGGAGAGGTTCATATAAAGCAATCAAGATACGCCGTTAGTTTCTAGACCTCCTTGGAGTCTTTTCTTATCTAATCCACTGAAGAGAAGACTACAGAAATACCTGGAGATTTTTCTTGACGAGTGTGTTCTACCTCTTGGAAGAATTGGGCCATGGCTACACCACCATCTGCTGCACAAAACCAGCTCCCTGTGTCACACAGCACAACGTGCTGAAAAGCAGCTGGGGAGAAGTGCATGACAGGTGATCTGCACATTCTACTGCCACTGCCCTGGAGAGCTGCCCAGACGTCCTGCTCCTTTAGGAGAGACGAGCTGCAAGGTAGAGAGACAAGACAGGCACACTCACACTGCACGCTAAGCTGGCAACCCCCAACCGAGCGCGTGCTGCAGAGCAAGCAGAGGGCTTGGCTTCTGAGCAACAGAACGGGATGCTTTGAGACCTTCCTGCTCCAGCGCGTGGAACAGACTCAAGCGTTACTTTAGTCACTTTATTTGTACCTATATAGATTACATTCTGATTCTCCAAGTAGTCAAGGCAGTTGTTCTCAAATAGTTTAGTACATCAATTTTATAAAATACAGCTGAACCAAGGTAGATTAGAAAAACATACATTATGGTACATTAAGTGCTTCGATAATGATTAGTCTGGCCACCTGCTAGCGAGTGATTCATTTGGTTTCGGTCATTCTTACAAAGAGCACACTCCACAGGTAACTCCCCTGACCCCTGCAGAGCTACTTGACCAGAGAGAGTCCCTCATATGCTTTTGGGGGACAGAATGCATCACTGGGCCACTCCAAGGCATACTGCTGTCTACACAATGACTCAGAGCAAGTCATCGCTTGGACTGGGAAAAGATTCAGATGTTTGTCAAAAGGCCTCCAATCAAAATAGAAGAGTGAGCCGGTGTAGCTCTGAAGAAATGCAGTCTTTGCATTTGCAGCTGGGATTTGCTTGCACACATATATGCTAAGCCTGTGTTACAAAGGAATGAAAAACTCTAATCAAAGGGCTCGTGTGATACCTAGGCTGTTCCCCCAGGACGTGCTGCAGGGACACAGAGCTAACAGCCCCACTGGGAGCTCTCCGGCATGAAGCACTGCTCTCCTTTTGAGAGGGTAGCACTTTGTAGTAAGTGAAATGCCAGGACAATTCTTCTGAAAAGGGAATGTTTGAGGATCTCTGTTCAACTGCTGGGACTGGAACTAGGAATGCCTACAGCTTTATGTCACATGGCACCCAAAGACATCCCAGTTCCAGCTGATACTGCAGTCACTGTGTTACCATGACCAGTAGTTCACTATTTACTTCAGTCTGGTCAGGACTAGTCTATCAGCCACATCCAGACCCAAAGTCAGCTGCTGATGCTCATGTGTCTGGACTCTGTGTTCACAGGCTGTAAAGCAGCTGGCCAGCAGAAGGTTCTTTCACTTTGACAGCGCTGAGGGTCTCATGCTGTCACATACAGGGGAGCATTAGCTACAGTCTGATGATCACGATGCTTTAGAGCCAGCTGCTTGGGACTCTGGAAGACAAGCAGCAGAGAGCAGCCACACATCACTGGAGTACGGGTTACTGGTGATAGGGCAGGGCTAGCACATCACAGCTCTGCATTAGCCCAGTGCAGATGGCATGATGCTGCCCATATTCATGCTCCATCAACCAACCCACATACTGACAAAGGAGGAAGATAAACAGCCAGCTGCTGTTTAGTCACCTTAGCTGGGTAAGGCAAGTCAAGCTTTTTCCCTGTAAACCTTAGGAGGGGAAGGAGGAAGTACACATGTAAACTTTAACTGAGACCTGAACAGATTCAGGCTGTGTGGCACTCTCTTTCACATGAAAGGACCAAGACAGATGGTAGAAGCCACAGAAGAAGTGAGAGCAGCTGATGGACTGGCTGGTTCCTCATTACACAAGGCCCCCACGCACAGCTTGCCATCCTGGGAGTACACATCAACACAAGAGGCAAGATGAGTCCCTGAGGTGGTCAGTCGTACCTGACACACTGTGTCAGAGAGGAGGGATTCTGGGCCAGAGGAAGCAAGGAGTTCTGTGCCATCTTTCCACAGCACACATGACTGCAGCCCACAACGCTGCGCCCCAAGAAACAGTGACTAGATTGTACAGAGGAAGCGAGAATACTTTCATTTCTGCTGCTTCAAGGTCAGCATCTCTGCTCATCCTCCAGTAGGGGTTTGCAGTGGAGTGGGGAACACAAATGACTTGCTTCCTGGCAGCTCAGACCTGAGCTGCACTGGTGGTTTTTGGAGCCAACAGTTCAAATCTCACTGCTGGCATTTTCCTTTCTCAGTGCTGCCCAGCTGTCACACTCCTGAACAGAGCCACTACCATCTGTTACAGAAGAAAATACTGAACACAGGAAAAGTGAACAAAAAGCACATTTCATTCCATAGTTACAGTGAGGATGGCATTACCAGGCAACTGGTCAGAACGAGCAAGTGGTCATAATAAGTGGTCACCCTATACTGTCCCAGACTCCATGTTCATTTGAAGTCCTTCCATCAGAGACTAGAAGTCAAAGGACAGTAATTCCTGCTCCTGAAACTCATAAAACACCCTCTTATTTACTGGCCTATATTATAAAGAAGCTAAAAAGTAAACTCATCACCTACAAAAACAGGTAAAAAAAAAAATATCAATAAAAATGGAAAGAAGTGCTTATTGTCATTACACACAGATTCAGAGATCTCTGCACATCTTATCCATCATACAGGATACCTGTTAGTTCAGGTTTTTCTTTTTGCAGAAAAAGATGACTACATTCATCTCAGTGGTGCAAAAAAAAAAATATCTAATACTGCTGAAGAGATGTTTTTTCCACTGGGACTGCACAGTGTGATGAGATCCGGATGCTCATTCTCATCAGCACAACATGAATGCAAGAAAAACATTCTCCTGGCAAAGTTTCACCATGAGGTAAACGCACTGTTTGAAAGTCCTGGGGAACTGAAATGGATTTGGAGTGGTCTGCCAGGAATGATGGTTTCATTAAGGAGAAAGTTGTCACTAAGGCAGTATGCTTTATTTTGTCTAGCACCTTAGTGCCTTCTGCTAGGGAAAGGGTCAGCTTCACAACTATAATTAATCAAGGTTTGTTTAATTAAGAGGTATATTTTTTAGTTACCTGTTTCCAGGGATTTGGGCAACATTCAGATCAAAGCACTGTTTAGGACTGAAGGGATATGTTTTGGGGTTTGCAGTATGCTCAGAACTGACAACCCATTTTTATGGGATTCAGCTAAAATGAAATTATGACAGATAAAGACAGTTTTATTGCAGTAACATAACTTAGAAGATGTAGTGATATGGCATTATAGCTGTGGAGCTGCCCTAAAAAAAAAAAATACTGTTTTCAGAACCCAGGAACAACTGACGCTAGAGAGCATAAGCAGGACAAGTTACTCATGGATCCTAAACAGATCAGCTACAGACCACTGCAACAATAGCACAACTGGGGAATTAACTTCATTCTTCTCTCACCCACCCAGAGGCGGGTTTATTTCACATTTGCAGTACCACGCATCCACTACAGAAACACGAGCTGCTCACATTCAACACCGCTTGGGCAGTGCAACACTTACAGGTTATGTACTTCTACGTCATCGTGAACAGGGTAGTATCTGTTTCGGTGCTCTTACAGAGAGATAGCATCACCTCCCCTCCTGACAGAGGGAATGTCTCTTATCCATGCTGTTCAGTGGTACCTTACAGCTTAGATCCTTAGAGAGGCTGGTTCACTTATCAGCCTCCACAAAAGGATTAAAGTGCAACAAGCTGATTTCACACTTCACATCACCACACATGGTCAGTGTAGACATGGAATTGCAATCCTCTTGCTCACTGCTGGACACACTGCAGGAAGAGTGGCCCATAATGCCATTGTCCTTTTGTGCTTTCCCAATATGGGCTTTAGCTTAGCAGTTCAGGCCCAGTCCTGTCCAATGGTCTGGCACCATCAGGAAATACTTGTCCATGGCTTCACAAAACCTGGTCCGGTATAGTTCTGGAGAGACCACAGTTGGCATCTTACCTGATGTGGAAGAGTCAAGAGCAGTTAGAAATGGGCTAAAGAGTATACTGCAATACAGACAGATGTCCCACGAGATACAACACCAGACAGCCTAATCACGAAGGCATACTGCATGTGAAAGGGTCTTGGAACCAACAAGCATTATTATCTGCCAGCCCTCCTACTAACATGTGCCCAACACTAGACAACACTGCACAAAAGGTACTCTACTCACTTGCACAAAGGGAACTCCTCAGTTCCTCAAAATATGGGCAGTAGTCCATTTGATAAGGACCATGTGATAAGTATTCCGCCACACTAACAACTCAGTATATCTGATTTTCTGGACTCAAAAAAAATCTTCTAAAACCAGGCAGCAAAGTTTTTTGCTAGTATCTCTGTGATATGAATGACTGTATGTGAGTAGTTGGTTACTAAGGAACAGAAAAGAACAATGTGATAAGTAGGTTACCTTTACTCCCTTCCTGGCAATTAAAGTATTTAAAGGGTCACACATGGAGGCAGATCAATTTATTAATTTTTCTGAAACTTGTTATTCCTTCCCCTGTTCTGGACAATTTAATCTAGTGTTGCAGATCTGCATGGTGGTGAAGTTGTGGATTTATTGGCCTAGTTATTGGAAGCTTCCAGGTCATGAGGAAACATGACAAAAAGTTTTCCATTGATTCTGGACTTACCTTGTCCTCCCAAGATGCCAGTTGATTTCACCACCATTTCAAGCTTTTTGTCCCAGGTAAAAGTGCGAATATAGTCTGTTGCAATAAAAATAAAATCCACGCAGAAACATGTCATATCTACCATAACCCAAGTAATAAAGTACCATTTAGAGAACGCTGTGATACCCTGATAAAGCAGGCATGTTCTCTCTTCTTAAAGACTTGTGTTAGGCTCCTTCAGATCATGAACAGCTGTTCTTACCACAGTGAGGGAACTGTAATCTTTAAACATCATATAAAATACACTTTTTAATCAGGTGAGACTTCCCATAGGACAGCAAAAAGCCACTCATATAGAAGGAGCAGAGCTTCATCCCATTTACCCAACATGAGTCTACAAAACTAGAAAGTAGTAACAACTTGCCGTTCTTTGCAATTGCTGGGACTTCAATTCTCAACCAGAAGTATTATTGGAATGGCTTTTAAGCTGTACCAGAAAAAGAGTAATCCAGATGTCCTGGCTTCATCTCTCATCTAGAAGCATTTCTGAGCTAGGTTTCAAGCTAGGTTTTGGTATCATTTCCAAATCCTGCAAAATGGCTTCATCTACAAGTCTTTTGTGCAATACTAGTTTGCCTGTTTAAAGATGAGGCTCTGACTTCCTCTCAAAAGTCAGAGGATGTGGCAAAGCAATTATTGCACTGCCACCTATATTACCCAGGTCAGGCTACATGATCACAAGTGATCCTGTGATGTTTAACTTCCTTCTTCCATCCCTACCAACACTGCTTCTCCCTAGATCCCCTCCACACAAGATAAATTTTAAATGGCTATGTAAACATCAATCTTTAAAGTTAAGTTCAGTAAACACAAACATACAAATAACCTTCCCTACTTCAACTGGAGTCAAAGTGTAGATTAAACACCAACTTGATTGCTTTTTGCTACCTATGAGGCCTCTATATATTCTTAGTAATACAAATGCTAAAACAAGCCCATACAACAGCTGGGGAGAAGAATTCCTGCCTCCACTTCCAATAGCCATAAGAGGGGAGGGTGGTATTCCATCAGAGAGAAGACAAGCTTTCCCGACACACAGAATTGTACCACCATCACAGATATGAGAGTACTATAAACAACTAAATCAGAAGAAAGCAGTTTCACCAGCTGAAAGCAAGAAAATACAAAAGAAAACCTACCAATGATACCAACCACCAGCTCATTGCTGGTATCATCACGACCCACCAGCAGGGAATAGTCAATGATGAGGTGGCTGGAGAGGAACTGGGAGTCACTGTGGATGGAAGCTCTCAGCACAGCCTTGCAATGGGAACGGATGTACAAAGGATTGTCCCGGACCATCTTCAGAAGGTTCTCATCCAGCAGGACTACATCACAGCTTTCCTTGCCCGTGTCTGTTTTAACATTTCTATTCCGGAGGGAGCCCTTCAGGTCAAAAACCTGCAAATGCAGAACACCACCACATTATTCTGCGAGGTTAAAGACTCCAACATACCTAACTGCAGTGTTTGAGAAGGCAGCACAGCAGGGCAACTCTGCTTCTCCACAGGAGGGAGACAGTTAAAACACATTTCGGTACTACAAAAATTAAAGCTCTCCTGAGTGGAGAGTAGCATGTACACCTATATGAAAGCTCTGCCACATCCATTAACAAATTTTAGACAAAGTATTTAATTAATATTTAGCCTAATTTAAAGGAAAAAGGGTGTCCCTATTTTGATACTGTACAGGTAAACTCAGTTTTTCAGCCAGCTTCTACAGACTCAAATGCTGACAAAAGTAAAGTTACTGAAAATGGAGACACGTCCTGCACGCAGCAGTGTTTAACATCTCTTGCCCAGACCATCAACCCGGTTGGAAAGGATCTTCGGAGGTCTCCAGTCCAATGCCCTGCTTGAAGCAGGTCCTGTTAGAGAAGGCTGTTCAAGTCCTGTCCAGTCAAGATTTGACTAACTTCAGGGAGAGTCCACAGTCTCTCTGGGTCTCTGTTCTAGCGCCTGACACCCTCATGACTTAAAAAACTGACAGACAAAAAGAAAACCCACAACAACATCCTTCACATCCATTTAGAGTTCCATCGGTTCACTTCCTCCCACAAACATGCCCTGTTTTACGTCAGGCACAGTTAGGGAAGGAGGAAGGAATTGATACTATCTAAGTTTTATAACTGACAGTCGTTTGAACTTCCTTTTCAGCATCAACTCTACTTGAAGAGAATTTCCCCCTCCCCATCACTTCAAGGTCTTCATTCTACTCCTCATAAAGGTTGCTTTTCCTTTACTAAGAGCAAGACTGAACTCAGAATCTTGTCTCGCACATTAAGCGGTTGAGAGAGACAACAGTGAGTTCAAAATATTATTAGTTTCACTACACAGCAGCTCACCATCTCCATCAGTGAGGCTCTCCTAAACACACTAGTTTGTGACCACAGTTAGTTCTTTTAAAGCTTTGCAAAAAAGTTTCACATTGTCCTAATTAGGTTGGCAATGCTTCCTCCCAGACAATGGAGGTGCAGGGACAAAAGAGACTTCTAAAAACCTGAAGCCAGCACTACAGCTACCTGAACCAGCCAATACAGGCACCAAATTAGTAAGGGTCACGTAACAAGGTAACAGCGATGAACTGTCATCTTTGAGCAGTGCTAGACATAGACAGGCCATGCAAAGTCCCAAGTTACCTAGATGGCTACCAGTAACACTGCTCTTGCTCCCAGTCAGAACTGCCCTGCAAGGGGACAGAATGCTGCTTCTTACCTGAGCCATTTTCCTGCCATAGAAAAGGTTTTCCATGACAAGCAGATCCAGCTTCTTCTCAGTGTTATTTTGAGAGTTCTTGTATCCAATTCGATATACCCCAAGGATTTTGGCCAGTGCTGTGGGCTTCTGATGAAGAAAAGGCATGGGTTAAGATCTCTGTGCACAGGCAATCAGCAGTCAAATACTAGAGGCACCACTGTTCTGTTTGACCATTTGTTATTTCCCACTTCATATCTTAAAAACACATTATCAGTGTAATTCATTCCCTCTGACATTTTCTTTTACTAAAAATGAAAGGGTTTAACATGAACTGCTACTAGCCTGTAAAACACAGAACAGTCCCTAAGATAAAAGGTGCTTTTTATTTTAAATACCTTCTGCTGAACTGCATTAATGATGTAAGTGAAGTAGTGTGGTGCAAAGTCAAGGAACGACTGGACTTCCAGACGAGGCATCTGCTTCAAGATGAATCTGTCATCTGTTTTAACACAAGAGGCAACACAATTACATACAGCAAGCGAGGTATTTGCAAGTTGTTTAGGACTGTCACACAGCTAAATTGAAAAATTAAAGGACTACATTCTCTTAATTCCTTCTTCCTAAGAAGATAAAAAAGCTTCTAGAAATTACTTATCTTCTGAATTTCAGCTTTCTAGCAAATCAGGGAAGAGACTACTTAAGTTAGATTTACTTCAGCCACATGGGCTTTGGTACAGACAGCCAAAGCAGCCTACAGACCCCTCCATTCAAGAAATCTTTTAAATAGGGGCCTAGAATCAGCCACAGTTAAAAAAATCCTATATATCAACTATAGCCTGTGGGATTATAAGAACTACCATGTCCTTAATAACCAGTTTTCCTTGATTTATACACAAGTTTACTTTTTCTGAAGCCTGCCTAAGAGTACAACCCTTCTGCTCAAATGGCCTCCCCCTAGCTGCTACTACTGAAAACAGAACTACATTTTGTTCTCCTGCACATACAAAGAAACAAATAATCTGATATTGAAGACCCCAAAACAATCCACTTAACTTTCCATTCTGAGTGGCCACTTTGCAGCCAGCAATCCTCTGGCTAAAGGCAATCAGGGATTAAACGACACACTAGCCACCGCCATCTCCAAATAATACCCTGTAATTATGAAGGGGCAAGAAGCTGCATTTACCCTCTGTGACGTAGAACGCAGCCCCAGATTTGCCACCTCGTGCTTGCCAGGGCATAGAGTGAGAAAGGGATCGGATGAAGTCCTCTTCACTGCTCCCCAGTATCACTTCACGCATCTTGTGAAACTCGCCAGCGTAATAAATCCGGCAGTAGAACTTGGCATTCGCATCTGAAAACTCTGCAAAAAAGGTTTTCCTCAGTAACAGCATGCAATACCCACTGACTACCTGAGATGACGCTTAAGAGATTTTAGTGATGTCCAGAAGAATGTTGTTGTGCTAAACATCCCTCTCTTACACCTATCATACTCTGGAAGTTTAAATGGAAACCTTACAGGCAAATCAACCCCCTTTCAGTTAGCTCACAGTATATACCATGGGAAAGTGCCCCGGCAAAAGACCAATTAAGAAAAGAGTTTCATGGGGTATTTTTGCAACGGAGATTGATTACAGTAACTAGAAAATGCATTACTCTGTTCTTGATTTGGTTTTTTTCCTTCCTGCCCAATACAAAGAAAAAATAATTATTAACTTCAAGACTTCGACTACATTTGCATGAAGAAAGGATTCATCAGCTAAGACTTCAAGTTATTATTTACAAGTACTCACGGAGTTCCACATGGGGATTCACCAGCTGTTTCTTCTGTCCATCTCCTCCATCTACGTCATCTGAAGGCATAAAGGCACCATTCAGTCAGGGTTGTTCATTGTTATTACTCAGAAAGCCATCCAAGATACTACTTGTAAACTCACATCACAAGAAAAATACTTCCTTTTTTTCAAGAATACAGGGGGAACCACACATAGGGAAGTAGAGATACAGCTATAGTTGCATGATAAAATATGTACGCTAGAAGGGCACCGCTGTTCATCGGACGTGTAAGTACAAGCTTCCTCTTCACTCATTTTCTATGAGCTGAAACAATGAAAGTTAACAAGGAAGCAAGGGAGAAAGACTGGGCTACTTCACTAGAATCAACTCACGCCAAAGGCATTCAAGCCCAGACTACTCAATGTCCCTGTAGCTACTGGGGTTTGAAAGACTATTTCCCTTCTCATAAAGCAACGGAATGTCTTTAGGAGAAAGCTGTATTTGAGGCTCAAGTCATTAATTTTCAATGCATGTTAAATATTCTTGGACTGTTGAAATAGTATGACCAGCAGTGCATTCTGAGCCTTAGAAGTAGGAAGGAGGTTCAGGAGAAGTAACAGTCCAAGACAGAAGATGGACTCAATCTTGTACCTTGAGGCTCTGCTCCTTGGTTTTCTGCTCCCTCTTTGCCCATCTGTCCAACCTGGTAGTAGGCACTGTCAGCACCACGTAAAGTCTCTTTCTTCTGAGAGGACAGGTCCGGGCTCTTCCCTCCCGTGCCACGGAAGAAAGACAAGACACCAGATGGTTTCTTTGCTACAGTGAATGGGAATAAAGAAGTTGGCCTTGGAATTTCCATGGGAAGTTTAGTAAAAGCATTTATTAAATGTATACACACGCATACTCATACAAGTATTCATTATTCTAACCGGATGAACGTCATCATTCAACTGTAACTCATGTACTATTCTTCAGGTAGCCATGGTCCATCAGGTTAGCTGATTTAGTGTTCTGAGTAGCATTCTGGAATGCTGAGTCATTTGAAAACACAGACCAAGCATGAGCAACTAACATAGTAAGAACCTCACCTCTCTATTTCAAAATATTTCAATCGCCGTCCTTTTTAAAGAAGGCAGCGCCAAAAGAGATCAGAATATATTATGGGCATCATACCCCACTGAACAGGCAAGACTCAAGAACAACCCAAGGTCCACTATATCATAACTTATTAAATCAGGGAATGACAGTCTGATCTCACAAGAATCAGAGAAAGCCATCCTGAGCATGAACTTCAAAAAAAACTACACACATACATCACACCCTCCATGTTCTACATCAAGTCAGCTCTAAGACTAGTCACAATTTCAACTCAGAATGCATTTTCTTTGTTACAATTTGACTTTCAAAAGAGCTAGAACCCAGGTTAAGTGCACTCAAGTCTGAGCCGAGATTAACATCATAGACATGATTATGAGAAGATAAGCCTTACGCTGTTCTGGTTCTGCACTGCGATTTGAAGAGCCCATGTTAGCCTCGGGCAGGCGGACAGGGCTACTGCTCTTTGGTTTGCTGTCTGACATGCTGAAAGGAGAAAGAAAGAAAAAATCATGAGCCCAACAAATACTGCCATCCAAGACATTATCGCTTTACTCTTGTACGTTTATTTCTCCTCCATGCCTAACACTATACTGCTAAGGGAAGAGGATACAGCTTAAAGTTGTAATGCTGTGGGACTCCCCAGAGTTGTCCTCCTCCACCTCCCTCAGAAAAACCTCTTAGGGCTCCATATCAACATTTCCACCCATCACCACAAGAAACAGAAGGAGGCCTAGTAATCTCTTCTATGAGTAAACTCAAGGGATCAGGTGGTTATATGGAACGTGTCAGATTCCAACAGAAAGCAGAGATCCTAACACAAGCATATTTTGAGGGTCCTTCCCCATCCTGGTTTTGGCTTATACATTACAATTACTGTGCCTTCACTCTATGTACTGAAGCTCCTGCATGTAACCTGTTTGACTGTAGTCCTTCTTCAGAACTGTTCTTCAGAGATGCTTTGGACAACTCATCCAGGGCATTTCTGTACTCCTTGCAACTGAGGGAGAAAGGAAAAAAAAAAAAAGTCAGCTGTTTGTGAGGTTCTAACACTAACCCAAAGATTCAGTTCAGAGACAACCACAGGAAACAACAGCCCACAGTAGAAAAACCTCTCAATTTTTTCTTACAATTAGAACTTAGTTCCCTTAGACCAGAAGGTGCTCTAAATCATAGTGCAGGAAAATCCTCCCCTGCCTTGTTTCTCCTGCTCCCACAATTTAAGAATGCCCTTTTAAAAAAAGTCTGCTGCCTTGTGACACACAAACCCCAGGATTTACTGAAGCAGCTGGTTTGGAGAGCTGAGTAATAGCAAGAGCTGCTACAACTGAAGGTAGGCAAGGATCAGACTACAGTATGAATACTTAACTGTTGATCCCTAGCTCGGTTCCACTTCCTCCAGTCTGGAGAGCTAAGCAAAGCTTAGCTGCACTTATATTTGTCTAACAGTATCACATTACAGGGAACACTACACAACTCATTAATTTTTGTGTACTAGAGTTCAGCAAGGAAAGCCAAAAATCGAGTTGCAAGTTGGGAAACCTATTTTCTATATGTCAGTAGTAAAAGAAGAGACTTGAGCTCTAGCAGAAACTCTCAACACAGCCAAGTAAAGAAATTCCATTATGCTTGTTTCCTACCATTAGGATTGAAGTAGTCCTAGCACAAAAAAAGTATGTGTCATATGAACAACAAAATCACACCAGTACCTGAGAGCAAAAGCTATGATGGAGCTTGGTTCTTTCTCACAGACTGCAATAGGTACACGTTCATGCTCGTACATTAGGTAGTGCTTATCTGGGTCACTAAATGAAAACAACATAGGGAGACTCTTAGTAGATCATAAGAGTTTGTGGAAAGAAAAGGTTACGTTTTTGTCAAAACCCAGATCTCATCACTGCACTCCAGGCATAAGCTGCAAGTCTCAGCACGGAACCAAAGCTCCCCAGACCAGCTTCTCCATACAGACACGTTCACAGCTATGTGGTTAACTCTAAATGGCAATGTGTTAGGGCAATCAGCACTTCAAGCAAGCTTGTATCAGAAGACCAGCTCCAAGTTAGAGTCTACTTCTGTTTAGCAGCCACTGTTTCCAACAGTGCCAAAACCTGCCTGAGTTGGTTTTGACTGTCCTGCAGCATCGCCAGCAGAGTGAAGTTAGGGGACAAACCTGGGCTCTTTGGAACAAGCAGTTTAGCACAGAAATTCCCAAAAGTCTCCTGGTTTTCTGTAAAATTTTCTTTTATCTGTAAGGTCCAGTCATTTAACTTTTACCTCATTAGCTCATGGCCTCCACTACTATGCTGGGGGTAGGATCCATAAGTTAAACACAGGCTGCCAAACATTAGGCTCATGTCAAACGAAACACGACAAAGCACGCAGACCAAGTAGCTGAACGACTTTCCAGCCTGCCCACTTTCACAGGAGAAGGGGACTTGAGGGCACATGCAGTAGCCATTGAACCTGACCTACACCCAGACAATGCCAATTTGAGTCCAACCTTTGGAAGAGGTCTGGAAGCAAAAACAAGAGGCAGCCATGTAGCTTTAGTAAGTCTTTGCAAAAGGAAGAACATCTATGCTTCCTCCCCGCAGCAATGAAGTTAGAAGGCACCTTTCTGTCCTTTCTTTCCACCCCTTTCCCTCCCACAAGAGTTTTGAGGCAGCAAGCCTGCTAGGAGGAGGGAAAACAGATAATGTACGCGCACAAGGGTGGATCATTAATAAGAAAAGCTGGTAACCTACAAACACCTAGAAAGGAAAGGACACAAAACTTCTTACCTTGAGGAAGTTCCGTAGCTTATTCAGAGGCAAACCCAAGCGTTGATTTAAATGATATACCAAGCCAAGGAAGCACGCATGGCTCTGTTTGCGATTTGGCCAGGCTGCTAATTTTGCACATCATATGTATTATGCAGTACTTACAAGGGAAATGGAATGGGGTTATAGTTGTTTCCAGGCAAAAAGTTAGCCAAAATAGCCTTCATAGTAGATTTCTCCTTCACTTGGCTGTCTGTAGATCCCAGTGAGTGTCCATCAAACACATCTGGAACAACGGTAAGTTAAGTCTGCATCACAACATCAAACTTCAAGCTGTACATTCAGAAAGAAGGCTGCAGACCATCAAGTTACCAGATTTGCCGTTTTCTATACGTATCTCATACACTTGTCACAGAGAAGCAAGAGAAAGAACACAAGACCACAGCTGAATGATACCTTCTGAGCTGCTTGTTGTATCCTGTTCAGACAGTGTGCCTGCACCAGTCACATGCTCCGATACAACCTCTGGAGGGGTGGGCAGCTGAAGATGGGTGGACCCTGTGGAGCTCTGACTTGATAAAGTAGTCAGGAAACGATCCTCTGAGAGTACAAGGACAGTCAAGAAGAAAGCATTTTACACGGCTGTCAGAAGTGGCATTACTTGCTCCCAGGCCAAGTTATCACCAGTGTCTACTTTCAGTAAGTTTTTATGTGGAAAGCAGGTAAGGGCACCCAGAGCAAAGGAGTAGGTAAGCTGATCACTTTAGCACATAACTTCCAGAAGATGCATACCCTTATACCCACTACTTCCAGTTCCTACAGTATTGGTATGCCCCACAGGTAAGAGGTCTCAGCACCCATATCCACATCACAGAAGAGGCAAGAGGCACTTTTTTCCCAAATTTCACGTACTTATTTAGAAAGTCTCTGAAAGCTTTTAAACTCAAGTTCCAAGGAAAACCCCTGCTGTCCAATTTAGTGTCATTAGTAATTCAGCTTCATATTAGAAGCAGACTTTGGTTTTTATAGCAATAAGCTAGAAAATGGCTTATTTCTATCTGGCACAATGGGGATTCACCATTTCTCCAAATTATCAAATTTGACAAAGGTTCCCACGTTACATTGGAGAAAGGGTTACATCAAGCTTCTTTTGGTAACTTAAGAAAAAGAAACCAACAACAGACCTCTCTCTCCATTTTGGAGTGCTGGAGAAGCATTGCGTGGGGAAGCATCCATGCTACTGATCTAGGCAGAATAACAAAACACCAGTGTTGATGCCAAGCTCTTTATAGCATATCCCTTCCTCCACGAAACACTTGCAAATGCAAACAAAGCACTCCCACCCACTGTGCTGTCACTGCCACCGCACAAAAAAGACAAGGCAACAGCAACCCAGCTTCAAAAGGTGTCTGCTATCATCTCCCCACACTGCTTTAAAGGCTACACTCTTCCTCTGTTTAAATCTACTTGCTGCTAGATCCTGGTAAAGTGTGTCTTAGCATCTAACAAACGTGTGTTAAGTAGAAAGGACAGACATGTATGCATGCAGCAGAGCAAATCCAGGGTCCATCCTGTGTTCTTAGCTCTACCTCTCCTGGTAATTTTTGCCTTTTCTTTCTCATAAGGGACAAACGTGATAAGCAACAACCTAGGGTCTAACGAGGTGACATCCTTCTTAGCCAGGTATGCGCTTGATGAGTGCAGCTCTCTGCTGTCAGTATTCAGATTAACACTACACAAACCACAGAAAGTCATTAAATACTATTCATACTTAGTCTTCTGTGTAATATGGCTTTTGGTTCACATCTTTAGGAAGAGGTATGTATACTAACATGCCATTCAAGCTTTTACAACTGAAAACTACATGATGCAGTAACAAAAGCTGACTAAGTGAACTGAAGCCAGTCTTAACTGTTGTCCCAGAAAAAAAAAAAGTAGTTTGTAGCCTGCTACTCATACCTTGCTTTCTTCACCTTGCCTCAGTCTCCCAGGGCTGGGTGGTACTGATGGACGTTTTCTCCCTTTCTCTTGTTGGAAGAGGTCCTGCAATCTTCAACAACCAAACCAAACCCACACGCAAAAAAAAAAAAAACAAAGAAAAATTAATCAAAAGACAGATTACAGGTATAAACTGTGAAAGGCTCAAGTTATGAAGTTTCTCCATACTAGAGAAACTACTACAGCCAAGCACACCTTCACAAGTCTTTACTGCAAACTCAGACGGTTGCTAACATGTGCCAAAGCCATGTTTCAAATAGCCAAAGCCAGCACACTTTCTTCACCTCCAAGATAATTTCATCCAATCAATTGCTTTCCTGTGCTCCCCTCTTCCCCTCTCCTCTATCTTTATTCAAATGGCACTTTCTCCTCTCAGATGCAAGTTGTGCTCTACAACACAATGCTGCTGTTACCTAATCTCAAATGATTTTCTGTTCCAATCAACCAGCTCTGTGGTCTTAACCAGTAGACGATATTCAGCACAAGCTGTCATAACACACTCTATACAGCAACTGCACTACAGGGAAAGAAAGTACAGAAGAATGCCTTCCCTTCTATAACCCAGCAGTACCAGTGTTGCTCAGGATTCCAACATGTGTCCTCTTACCTATTATTCCAGGCTTGTAGCATCTCACAAAGTCCTTGTTTTTTGGCTATCAGAGACTCAAACACAGATTGCAGCTGTTGAGGTGTGTCTAATGATGATGAAAGCAGCCTTGCTTGGATTTTCTCAGTCCAGTTTCGAAACTCTCCCTCTTCCATCTGCCAAAACAAACACTGTCAGTGTTCTGTGACCAGAAATTACACTAGCTCTGAGTGCCTTCTCTACACACTTTGCAGCCCAGGGTTTGCCGATGCAGAAATAGTCCATTACCTCCTTTTGAGCAAAGAGGTCTTCCATCTTCTCTTCTCTCGTTTTGCTGAAAGTATCAGTTTTCAGAGAAGCAAGGCGATCATCAACAGCAAGATACACTTGTGACACCCTGTCAACAGGGATGCAAAGAGTTAAGCTGTGACTACTTGAAACATTCCAAACATTCTTTAGTAGATGCCTGAATGTGTTTAAGAATACAAAAGATGATATATGACAGGGTTCTGCGCAGTAGGAGGTCCCACTGAATTTACAGGTAAAATTGAAAAAAATTCATTAGTATAGCAGAAACCTAGAAGTTACACACAGTGACATTCCTCTTCACAGCTTGCTCTTAGCAATGGAAGTTTTCAGAGAGCAACATAAACACATTACTAGCAGAAAGGAACTGTTGCGTCATCTATGTCTAGGAAGAATCTGAGACTGCAAGCTACACCTCCACCAGAAGGGCAGAGAGACAGTCAGAGTGAGTAACTCAGCTATAAACAAAGCTCCACAGGTTCTGAAGTCAGGCAGACAAGAATGCTGCTACCAGGCAGAACAGCAGTCAGGCTGGAATGAATATGTTTCCATCGTGCCTGTCTCCCACATTTTTGTTCCCACATTTAGAAGGTGCCTGGACTTACAGTACTTAACCTTAGACTACAGGAAGGTACAAGAATGGCTGCTGTTACCATATCCCGTAACTAGCAAAGGCAATGTCTTTTACACACCAGACAGTTTAGTTGTCAGATGACTGATGTAACAAAAACAGTTCTTATTGGACAACAGATTTGAGCAATGCTTTTGCAGCTTTTCCTGGGCTGAAGGCAGGATTTAAACTTGGTCAGATCTTCCAAAAAGGAATGTTAGGGTATGGGCATAAAGTGTTACCTGCAGTCTTAATACTAAGCTTCCTAGGACCACCACCTCTGTCCCATTTTTAGTATTAGAGGGAGGAATCAAATACTTTAGCTGTGCTTGAGAGGGCATTTTGTAAGAAAACATGACATTTCACACACCAGCGGATTGTCAACCTTCAGTGGCTACTTGACAATGTCATTCAGAAACATGCTATATCACTCAAATGCCAATGCAACATTCAGGGATAGAGAAGGGAAGAATCTCGGTTTCTACTGGCTATGTTTACGCTGAATTATTGTCAGATGAAAGGTGTGAAGTTAGTACACACAGAGCAGGTAAAGGTAATGAAGATTACAATACCACCCTGCTTAGAAGTATATGCACATATGAATGTATTTTAAACCATTACTTTTCTATTAAATAATGAATATTTACCAAGTATTATCTATCCTCAAAAAATGGTTGTGTGTTCTGCTACTAAAAGTCCAAACAACAAAGAAGCTGAGGAAGGCATTAAAAAACAAAGCTTACTTTTGAGACAAGTCTTTAAGATCCTGCAAAATAGTAACCTTAGATGGAGCCTGCCGTTTGATGTAGATCTTGGGGAGTGGGACACACACTTCAAGCAGCCGGATTGGAGAGTAGCTGAGAAGGCAATACAACACCTCTTAACAAGACTCTCCCTGCACAGTACTAATCCTACAGCATACTGTGGTTTGTGGCCCCTGTATGAAAAGGAGCACTGTCAATGTGTCCAGGGCTTCAGTTACCACCTTGTTCGCTTATCTCCTAGGCAAAAAGTAAAGCCACAGATCAAAGCCAGGCTGGATGAGGCTTTGAGCAACTGGTTTAGTGAAACATATCCCTGCCCATGGCAGGGGAATTAGAACTAGATGGTCTTTAAGGTCCCTTCCAACCCAATCCACTCTATGATTCTATGTTTCAAAACCAAAATTCTCCAAGTTTTCTGAGATCAGACAGCGAAAAGCATTTACATTCTGTATGACAAACTGGAGCCACCCCTTCTTACGGACGCTGCCCAGCCCATACAGTGGTGGCACATACAATGCACTCTACAAGCCAGCACAAAATCCTGCACTGTGGTTATAGTACAGTTACACTACACCATACTGTGCTCAAAGTGAAGGACAGACGAATCCTTACTAGAGATATTATGCTTCATATAGTACTAGAGAGAGATGGAATTTTTTAGCAGTGGACCTCACCTGAAAGATGCCACCATCTGATTGTAGGAAAAATACTGGTGATAGTCATGGTGAATGGAATGACCACAAGGCTCTGCATTGGCCCTTCGAGTGTACTGGTGCCCATAGAATCTCAGCTCAAGGTATTTTGCAAAAGACATAGACCAAGAATCATTGGAAAGGGGAACAACCGGTGTCACCTGAAAAATTGAAAGCAGAGTGTCTTAATTTCATCCTTCAAGTAAGATTAAGGACAGGCTAACCTAGACATCAATCTAGTATTTATAGTACCAGAAGCACCCACGACCCTGAAACACACAACAACAAAGACAGCATTTATGCAAAGCTAAGGCCAACACCTGGTTACAATAAATAGGATAAACAACAACTGCTAGTTGATGATGACAGGTGCTAAGTTGGAGGAGTACAAACATATCCTTGACAGAAGCTTAGATCTGGGATGCTATTTCGCTGCATAGAGACAATTTCCAGCAACCCAGTCAGCAGCAGTGATTTCATCATACACTTTTTCTCTGGTAATTCTTCAGCTACAAATACATTGGTATTGCTCTGTGGCATATTTCAACTTCAGCACTGCTTACAAGTTTAGAGTAGCCACCACTTTACACATACTTAATAGCCACAAACATTAGCGTTTACATGAGCACACAGGAATAAAAGGTTATAGAACAGGTGTATACACAGCAGCGTAGGCCTTGCCTTCAGCAATTGCATTAACTTCCTCCAGGTATCTTTAAATTCAACACCCACGTTTAAGGCAGTGTAAGTAGGTGACTTGAGTCATCCACACAGGTAATTGAGATGTTTTGCATTTCGGGCACTGCATGAATCTTGTTTAATTAAGTTTTCTTTTCATCTCTTTGAATGCTTTTGAATTTTACAGTGTTTATCGAGAGATGAGCATCCAGTTGGCAATGTTTTCTTAGCTAAACTACAGAACAAGTTTCAGATAATACACAATCTTACTGTCTTGTGTTTTTTTTTAAAGCAATTTCTCATTCCTCTAATGAATATTTTACTTATTTTCTCATGACTACTAAAGGAAGTCTAGACATCACACTGACACAATGCAGACTGCCCAGTCCACAGCAGATCAAAAAATACTAAGTGGTTTTAGCCAGTTCCCATACATACATTCTTTTGATGCTCGTACTCACCACAGAGAATGTACCACACTATTCACCTCTACGAGGGCAACTCCATGTGTCAGAAGTCAGTTTCCAGCAATGTATCAACTCCACTTAAACCTATCCTCTCAGAACCAGGTTTGACACTTTCCAACAGGACTACCTGTTTCACCCTCAACAGCCCCAATCCTACAAGAGGAATTTGTGGATACGTGAGAACATCTGTACCGGTAACAGGTTTTGTGCTAGTTTAGCCATAGCTCCAGGGATGAGCATTTTCTCAAAAATGTCTTTCCATACAAGGCCGGTCACAACAGGAATACTGAATTGGAACAGCAGTGATTCTTAAGCCCACATCCTTACCTGTTTGCACAGTCTACACCAGGAGTAAGTAAGAATGGTGTGCTGGTACCCAGGGACCGGGGAGTCCAGCTCCTTTAACACAATTTGCACACAGCCTTGCCCGTGAACAAAGCGACGAATGTGGTGCACCATCGGCGTTTCACAGAACATGCTGGGGCATTGGTAGGATGGTCTTAGAGAGAGAAATGGAAACACTTATGAACGATGATATGCTAGGCACTGCTGAAGAACTGGCCTTCCAGTTCCCTTGCCAGAAATGGCTGTATCAGTCCCAAAAGCAGCGGCTAAATACTGGTTGCTATCACAATGAATCACTTTCTACCAACATACTCCAGATAGTCGACAAAATATGGATCAAGCACCTGGAAGTACTTGGCACCAAATTAGTTTGGCAGCATAACAGAGCAGTCTCCTGAGGACAATGATGTGCCCAAGAGCCTTCAAAATGGTAATTTTTCAGCTCCTGAAGGACGAGGTGAGCCAAATAGTGCCATATAACCTCTCTGAACAGAAAAACCATGACCTTTCTTTGGATGGGGTTCTTTTAAGTCAGGGAAGAGAGACCGACATCAGAAAAATAAAAGCTGAATTGTTTAGGTACCAAAGTGAAATAGGGAATTCTTCAAAAACAGGAAGAGCTTAAAAAAACCCAGATCCTCCATGCTCATATGGGAAGGGGAAGAGGGGAATGAATTTTACTTGCTGAAACAATCAAGATTGAGAAGCATTCACTTTAGCACACATCAGATAGTCAGCAGAGAGATTTTAAAGTGAGCAGCTAAGCTCCTCCTCCTTATTGATCAGCACAAGGAGAAATAATTGTTCCTCCAAAGAAAGCTGAACATTAAGAGCATTTTGCTGCTGCAAGTGGCCAATGGAGAGAACAGAGTAATCTCATCTTTTGAGGAGCCACAGGCTACCTATCCAGCTTCACAGCCTGCTGAGACTCTGTATGGGGTTCTGGCAGCACTGGTTATTACTGACATGCACCAACTTGTACCTCTGTCAGATGAAATAAATTACACAATACTGTGCCAGGGCTAGAAGTGTTCTGGACCATTTACATTAGCCAACTTGCAGATATGACAAAGCCTTAATCTGGAGACATTCAGATAACACTAAAGGACTAGGGTTTTTTTCCAGAACTTATACGAAAGTTCAAATAGAAACCTCAAAACTGTGATCAGTACATTTGCTTGTCTTTAAAAACAGCCATTTGGAATACATGCTCAGACCCTAATTGCTATAAGAAAGTGCAAAGTGAACACATTTGTCATTATGAACTTGTGAGTCTTGTTCTGTCATCTGTTCCACTTCCTCATTAAAGGAAATAAGAGGGGCAGTGCCGAAGTGGGAAAGCAGTGGATGTATTTGCTTGTAAGTAGTAACGAGCACGAGTAACTGAATTCTTAGATCCAGCTCCTGTTTCACTACAGCATGGTAATAAAGAAAAGGGAGTAACAGATTTAAGGGGTAAGCTTTACTAGGACACAACTGGCTCTGCAGACTTGCATGCTGTTCTCCTAAGTGCACAGAAGTAGAGTCTATGAAGAGGGCAGCAGATTAACTTCACAGAGCTATTCAAAGCTTTGGTTTTGTTTAGAGTAAGTCCCTCCTCACCTGAAACAGTAGCGCTCCAGAAAAATCCCTAAAGTCAGGTCATTTTTCCCATAGAACTCCATGGTCACAATCCTAAAGCAGAGAAGAGCAGCTTCAGAATCTGGATGTTACCGCAGTTGGCTGTGCAATCGCCTTGAGTTGCAAAGATCTGCATCCACTGTTGGATTGTTGTCAGCCCTGTATACCTTCAAAGGTTTCCCCCCAACCCTTGACTACCCTTCCTAGTCCCCTGCTGCCAAATTTGCTAATAATGAGATCAGAGACCTACTAAAACAACTTTAAACTTAACATTTAAAAGTAGAATACAACTCAACTGTACTTTTGAAGGTCATGTTCAAGAATATCCAAGGCAGAGAAGTCTAGACAGCTTGAAGCCTCAAATACTACCATTTAAAACAGTTACAAAAAGAGGTACACCCAGAAGATGAAAAAAAGCCCTAAAACACCCCTTTTTCTTCTAGAAGACTTAATAGCAACTTGTGTTTTCTCAGAACCGAAAGTGAAAAATCCACTTAAAATATTTAAGTATCAGTTTAAGTGTCACAACTCAGACATCTCTAATATCAGTAATTTACATCCTCTTACTGTTGCTGTTTAGTGAGCTTATCACCACCTTCATTGGTTCATTCCTAAGCTTCTACAGGAACTCTAGACCTTTCTCTTTAAGAAAGCCCTCTCTATATTTTCGCCTGAGCTAGATGATGAAACATCAAGATCCATCCTGTTTAGTAAAGCTAGAAGCATGTCCTAAGTTGCACACAATTAACAAATTACAGCCCCCTAACCTGGAAATACGGTTAAAGCTCTTAGAGCCACTGACCATAATATGAGAAAGATCAGAATATATCCAAATGCCACACTCTGATTCTCTCAAGGGTTATTTTTGGGCTTGGACATTCTTCTGCGTTTATACACACCAACTCTTCCCTACAAGACTCCATGCAGCGACCTCCCCACACATGCATTACTCCACAGCAAAAGGACCAACTAAAGCATTCAGTTTTAGGCTGTGCTTTCTCATCTGTGCCTTGGGGACTACAAAGGCTATAGGATACTGCTCTGGATCCACCTGACCCCGCAAGACAAAATTCTTTTGGCAACAGGTCCTGTTACTGGAAGGGCATAACCTACCAAGGAGTCCTCAAAGAAATACCACTATGAGGTGAGCACTGACCCTGACTTAGGGAAAAAAAAGTAGTAACTATACAAGCTGCAGAGGAGTAGTTTTCATACCAGGGGCTAACACAGGCACTTGGAGCATTGCTGGACTGAGCAGAAGAGCTACTGAAGAGAACACAGAGCCTCTGATGGTTTACTGGACTCAGGCAATCCACCTGGTAGAGAGAAAACAACTTATTTACTGGTTAGACACCTCCATCCACACAACTCCTGATGACAAAATTCTATTTTAGCAGTTTTATTTACAGACAAATCTGCTTGCTCCTTTTGTACAGATTAACCTTGCATTACCTCTGAGCTTCAGGTAGACTTGTACCACGTATAATTGGTAACTGCTAGTTTTAGAACAGCATAACTAATATGCATAACTAAACCAATGCACGCACGTTTCTGCCTAAAGTAATCTAAGGGAAACAGAAAACAACAAGAGTCCTGAGACAAACATCTGGAGTCTCCAAAGCACTGTACAGTTTAGGACACCTTGGAGTGAAAACTACTAATATATTATACCTCAATTACACATTCAGGCTATAGAAGGACCTCCAGCTTTCTGTCCTCTGTGAAGAGCTGTACCATGCTGCTGCTGGAATGGAGCCGTTTCCCCTTCCACGCCCAACAGAACTATGAAGTTACCAAATACTTGTCTTTGATCATTGAATAAATTTAAAACAGCATCAACCAGTCTGATCCAGAACAAGGCCTAGTCTTTCAGTTGGTAAGATTACAGCCTGTAAAGCTACATATATTTACATTTAAGCACCAATTAAAATTCTGCTCATGAACTTGGGGATTGATTGGTTCAGGGACCAAAACATTTGACAATTTTGAGATCAGTTCTGCTACTCTTGTTCATAGACTTCTTTCCTGAACTGCTTCCAGTTCAAGAAAGTCCCAATGCCCTTTTTCTCAGATACAAGTTATTTGTTTTCATGGCAGTTTCCCAAAACTTCAAGTATTTCAATTACAAGCACATACTGCCTTGCTCTGACTTTTTAAAGAAGATTTCACCCTCATCCATTATGAGATTCTCACATTTCTTCAGATCACCCAAACTTTTACAAACACTTTAATGTAATTACAGCCTACTGCTGTTTCCATGACATTAAGCTCTCTGAAGACAAAAATGTCACACTTACACAAATCACCAAGACAAGCAGTTTCATGTGCTTATTTTCAGAAATCAGTCATTTACAGCTGAGCTGAACAGGCAATAACACACTGATTCTTGACTGACTTAATGCATTTCTCAGAAAGAAGAGTCTCACAACCTCTTCCCTTCTCAAGGAAATCTGCAGTCAGTCCCTTGTTCTGCTTTCTTACATCCACATAGTCCCTGGTATACATCCCATAGTCCCTTACATCCTAGTCCCACATAGCCCAGAGCACTGCAATCTAAAATGTAGTTTTGACCTACTCCAAAACAAAAACAAACAAAAAACCCCACCATACCACACAACATTCACCCCACAAACCAAAATGAACCCAACAAAGAGTTCTGGTTTGCCTTCTGTATTACGAGGAGGAACTGATGTAACCTGGGTTTTCAATAACATAGCTCTGAATCTTACCTTATGAGACCATGAGGATTCACTCTGAGCCAGTCCCTTCTCATCCTCTTCAGTTCTGCTCTCAGTTTTTCCAGTAGGGACACTAGACACATCCTTCCTTTGGGCAAAGGGATCTGTGCTTTTTTGTAGTATCCTCCCTCCTCTGGCCCGATAGTCAGCCAGCATTCTGGCCAAGCTCTGGCTATCACCTAGATGTTCTGCTATTCTAGTATTAACTAGCTCATGAGAAGGTAAGATTTGGATAGCCTTGGCTTGGATACTCCCATTCATCCCTTGTAGTCCAGAAAGATCCCGCAATAATTGTCTCTTCCTTCTACTCTCCAACTCCTTGTATTCCTTATTGAGGAGAGGAGACCAATAAACTTGCTCAGGGAAGTATTCCCGGGCAGGGCACCTCATGCCTTTTTCAGTCAAAAGAAAAGGCTCACGGAACATCATTACAGGAGAAATACAGAGAATGACATCTTTCAACTCCTGCTTAAAGGCTGCAGAGTAAGTTTTGAGGCGATCCTCAGAAGAAGCTACCTCTTCCGTGACATATAAACCAGTATCATCCTGGAGAGGGTCTCTGAAGACTCTCATCTGACTCTTGGACTCATGCAGATCATCTGCCTGTTGAAGAGGCTCCAGCATCTGACTATCCAGCGTGACCAAGTGCTGGTCCATGCCATGGAGGGGCAGCAGGGATGTTTCGGGTATTGCAGGAGGTATGGTGTTGAACACTGGAAACGGTAACTCCACTTTGTGGTGCTCTTGCTGTTTTGAGGATGCCATTTCCAGATGACTGCTCTCTTGGTCACCTCTCTCAAATAAACCTCTTTGCTCAAGCACGCTGACTTCATCAGTGGACACTGACTCAGAAATTACAGTCAGCTTTTCAGAGGACAGTTCAAGGTCTCTGACTGCTGTACTGAAGTCCTCGCCATTGAAGAGGTTTTGTTGTTCGTTTTCGTCTGCTGGCTCCTCAATAAGGGAATGAAAGGAGGTGTTTTTGGTCAGAGTAGGAGGCATGGCAAACTCATCCATAAGGAAAGATATTTCCAGCTGGGAATGATAAGCCACACAGACCATGAAGATCAGGATCTCCTTCACACGGGCCAGCTCATACTCTGCAGCACCACACAACTTGATAGTGCAACCCAGGTGCTGGGGACACCCTTCAAAGAACATCAGGGTTTTTGTCTGATCTAGAGAAAAAACAACAAACACAGGAGTTAAGATGACAACTACAGTTAACCTTCAGTATCTCACACACTGCGGAGACTGTAGCAGAAACTAAGAGCAAGTAACATTGGTAGCAAAATCCAGCTGCAGAAATTCACATTACTGTAGTGAAATAACTTGCTTTTGTAAACAAAACAAGCATTTGTTATAAAACTTGTCCACTTTGGTAAAACAAGTCATCATAAAGTGCAAGTGAAGGCCACATTGAACACATTGAACTAAACAGCATACTCTAAGATCACTATAGACTATGCAGCAGCGAAGCAGAACCGCCACGACCCTCCCAGGCACATTTGCTCATCCTTAGAAGTCAAAAGCCTAAAAGATTTTTTTGTGCCATTGAAAGGCTGGAAATGGGCATGTGGAAGAGATGCAAAGACTGCATCCCCACAAAGATCTGAATCAACCACTTTTATGTATGCCAGCACACCTGGTAGCCTATCAAGCAGCCTTTCTTCCTTTGCAGACTTTCGCTGTAAAGGGGATTACAGAGAAAAAGGAACCAGATTTTTAAAGGCACACAATGACTGGACAAGGGGCTGTGTGCACAAATTGCAACAAGGCAAATTTTGATTGGATATGTTAAGGTCTGACCAGATGATCTTTAGAGGTTCCTTCCAACCCAGGCTATTCTATACTCTGTTTCTACACAGAAAAATCCTTTATGGTGAGGATGGTTAAGCAACTGAACAGGTGCTCAGACAGGCTATGAAATCTTGGTTCTGCAATACTTTTAACAGTTGGCTGACAAAGTCCTGAGAAATCTGATCTGGTATCGAAATTAATCCTTCCTGTTTGGACCAGGAAGTTGGACTAGACAAACTCCAGAGTTGGGGGGGAGGTGGAGGGGGGTGAAAAAACCACCCACATGTTTGGAAGGAAGAAGCCAGCCTAATTAAAATCTAGTGTGTATCATCTTAAGAACATCCTTTTAACCATAGAGGTTAAAAGGTTTACTACGTAACCGTAGTAAAGAAAAATGAGTAGGAAAGATAATAGTTGACAAGACACCCAGCAGTTCAGATCTAGTTAAGAGGAGTGAAGCATTTCTATTTTCACACACACAAGCTAAGACACATCAAGCTTTACTCACCATTGGGCAACTGAAAAACTTGCATATGAAATTTATGACAGGTTCCCAAACGTGGTTTGGTCAGCAGTTGATCCATTGACATCACTAAGTCTCCCTGGGTCATTCGACTTACCCGGTCTAGCACTTGCTGTAAAAATGGAAAGAAAAGTAAGAATCTACAGCACAAAGAGGACACTTCCAACCTTCGCTTGCTCTTAAAAAAAACATCAACAATAAAAACGCCAGTGTGACCCAGGAAACCTCTCACTGAGATGCAAACTATGGGTTAAACATACACCCACGATGTTCAAGAATCTTAGAAAAGCAGTTGGGTAGATATTTCTGGTGAGAAGTAAGATTGTTCCCTTCCTTGGAGATATCTGGACCTGTTCAAGTGAAAAATGTTCCAGGAGGCACAATGCAGTCAGCATAGTACTGGCTATCAGGAGCTTAGCCAACTCCCACAGTTGGCTATCCCCCTCTGTCTGGCTGTCTGTACCGTCTCACAGAGACAGAGAGGCTCTCTAGGGACCTCTGAGGACCCATGCAGGATTTGCCACAAATAGGAGTCAGCATTAACTGGAACCAAGCCAGCATACAAGGCCTTTCCAAGCAAGGACACAGCAGAATAGCTGTGAAGAGCTGAGAAAATGTACTCTCTAGGTTTGCCTGTCTTGCCTTGTTGGAAGGGAAGTACCATTTTAAAAGCCCAGGTTTGGTTAGAGGAGAAAATAAGAAAATAAGAAGACTCTCTGCTTTCTCCAAGGGAAAGTTACAGATATCCACCACAATGCCCAGTCTGACTGACAAGAAATGCTCACCGGCTTGACATTGATGACCAGAGTGATACCATGCTCTAAAAGCATGTCCTGGGCAATTCGAGACACCGTCTTCTCAACAAGGACCAAGTTAGGCCTGACATCAACTATCCGCTGTACATAGTTCTTCAAGAACTCCCTTTCCTGCAAACAGGAACAAAGTATGGCAGTTAACTACTACAAACCCATCTGAAAACACACGCTTAAATGGTTAATATTACTTTCTCTCTCATTTATGTACTGAGCTTTCCCATAGAACAGGGAAACCCACCCCCACAGCACAACACCCAGTTTATCAGCAATGTTACACGCACTAACTGCACGTGAGCATATAGTCCAATGACAGCCTGAAGTTAGACTTGCAGCACAACCCGAACATATATATGCGCTTCATACATGGAAAAAGGCTTTATGTTCAAAACTTGCTACCGTTAGAGCATCCCAAACCAAAGCTGTTAGCAACATTGTGTTCTCCACCTTCAGATATATGCTAACCTTGAGTGCTGGCACCCAGACACACGTCCATTCACAAAGAGTACACCCAGTGCTCTATGCCTCTGAGTCTGTAGACAGAGCCCTCAGTCCCTAATCTTTATCTGGGAATAGTGCTTCTGGAGTGGGATCTCAAATGCTGTGCACTACTAAATCGCTCTTCTAACCACACCCACTTTCTGGCTTCATCTCACTGCCCTCCCTCACGGACCTTTTATTACCATGCACAAAAAGAGAAAGCAGGGCTGAAACTCTATCAGAACTAAAGGCCTACACTGCTAGAGGAAAGATACAGCTTCCCAAGTCAGGTATTCTCATTTCTCTTATTGCAGCTCCTATCAGTCAGGTTTTAAGTGTTCTGCACAAGAGAAAGACACCTCAAAAGCAGTTTGCCAGCAGTTATGATCACGTTCTGAAGCAGACACTGAAATAATCATGGAAACTAATATTTAGAAAGTACAGTAGACATATCCACCCCACTCAGACAGGGAACAGGTCTCCGTTTAAGCTTTTACTAGAAATCCAACTCAGAGACAAGAGTCTCTTGACAGAGACAAGTTTTATTGTTAAAGCTTTCATCCCTGTAATCCTGTTTATTAATCACCAAACAGAAGTGGTCTAAAAGGCTAAGGAAATAGTCAAATACAGAAACAAGAATCACGGTCCAAGCTCAGTAGGGCACCAAATAACCTTGTTATGAGTATCCTGGCAAACACCTGAAGACTGATTCTCAGTAATGCAGTGGGTTACAGAAAAGGTCTATCCGTAATAGTTAAGGCACCTCCCTGCTCACAGGGTCAGGGTACCTGTTCCAAAGTGACATTTTGTAGTTTGTCACTTCATTAAGTAGGTAGTTGTCCCATTTTCTCAAGCCTGTCAGAAATAACACGGGTGCAACCTAACCCTCACCTACACTAAGAACTCTGATTTCTTCATACACCCAAACCTTATCCAGTTCTGACCTTCTGAACCATACATCCCTTACAGTGTACCTTTAAAAAACCCCATGTATTCTAAAGTTGTGTAGATCACAAGATCACTCTCCATACACATAACCTGATGACAAAAACACTCAGCACAAGTCTACAGAAGTTCGTACTGTATTCACTGCACAAGTTTTCTAGGCTAGCTGTTAGAAGAAGAAACTTTGTTCTTTCCTGTGCGATCCCACTAACTCAACTCCATCTTACACACTGAAAAAGGTCAGATGTGCACTGATCGTCACTTCATTTAAATCACCAGACCTCAGGCAATTTTAACAAAGAACAAAAGCATGCTCTTACCTGAAGTACTATAGGGTCTATGCAAGTAAACTTCGTTTCTTCTCGATAGAGGTACTCAATTGAGCACTTCAGCAGAAGAATTTTGGGATTTTTTAAGCAAGAGTTCATCTGCGAAAGACACAAAAAGCATTAAAACAAAAATACAAGCACCTGGAAGGGAAGAAGTACACAAGAAAAAAAAGACAGACTTCCCATGATTGAGATGATTTCCCCCCCACCTCCAAAAAAGTGGCTCAGCTATCCCCACTCCGTAGACTCAACTACATATTCTTCCTTCTTTGAAGATGTTACACCTAGCTGCTGGAATTTCACAGGTACTGTACAGTAAGAGTGCAATGCTAGAGTTTTCTACAGTCACCAAGAACCCCAAGTCCTGATTCCCTTTGGAGCCTCCATCCAGATCACTTCTATCTTGACCTCCTGTCTTATTTAAAGACTTTGTTATATTGTCATAAGTCAGAACCACAAAGGCCTCCTTCTGGCTAAAACCTGGGGTAATTAATAGATGCCTTCTGGGGTGGTAGGAGTGGAAAGGATCTTGTTCTATATGTACGTGAGGAAAGTAACCCCCCTCCTAGAATCTTCAGGCTAAAAGAAAACGGTTTGGAAAATAAATACTTTAAAAACCATTTTGTTTAAGGACTCAAACTGGAGAAAGCTCCCAAACCTCCTGCGTGGTGACAGAAGCTTCACGACACAAAAAGGAAGTCACAGCACACTTGTTTTCTCAGCATGCACTATTGCCAGCACTTGACTATCAAGCCTGCATTACCTTTTTGTGTGCGACATTCTTAGTGCAAACAAATCCATTCACCACCATGGAGTCAAATTTCTTTCCTCCGGGGATCTAACAAAGCGAAGAACAATTTTAGAACCATCATATCCCACATAACCATCACTCCCACAACTTCTAATGCAGTAAGCCTGACACAAAGAACACCTACTGTAGCTGACGTGCAAGCTCCAGCTACACCCTCTACTATCAGATGAATGATCACATACTGGACACACAACTCTTTTCCTTCAAGGTCTGGCAAACTAAGAACAACATGAAAACAACTACTAAGTTCCAATATGTCTACACCCCTCCCAAGCGATGCCTGTTTGTTGAATCAGGTACACTCTGGAAGATAATAAGGGAACCTAACTTCTATAGGCCATGGGGAGCATATACCTTGGCACATGCCACACTTCCACTAACAAGTAAGTTGTAAGGAAACAAAAGAGAAAGGGGGTCGGGACAAACCAGACCAACCTGTATCTACTACTTGAACAGAAACACTTGACCGGTGTTGCCTATAGACACAACCAATGACAGGAGTAATAAACAACATGGAACAGGTTTCTGTTAACATTTCTGTTATCACCATGTGAAAACAGCAAACAGCTACACAGAGCTTTCACCTCTGAACATCTGGTCTTTGAACTGGAGTTTCAGAAGAGGCAGCAACAACTGATGCTGCCTGATGAGATGCCACAGAGCCACCACCAGAACCATAAGGCTCTCATTTTACACAGCTTCCAAAAAAGAGTCCTTCTGAAGTGAATTTTGCCAAGGAAAAAAAAAGGCCCAAGCATCTGATCCTCAGTCACACTAGCTCCTTGGATGTTGGCTTCATATCAGCCTCTCAGAAGAGACTCTGCATGCCACAACTACAGCCTTACAGTTCAACAGCATCAACACTCAGCCATCTGGCAGAACTGGATGTATCAGCCCATAACAATCAAGTTTTCCTCTTGAAGAAAGTCGTTGTACTTGGCATGGGAGGAGTTCTGTCCTCCATAATGGATAGTTACAGGGCAATAGATTGCTACACAGGGTCCTGCAAGCTACTTATCCAGCATTCAGTACATCTCCAATCCAAGCAGAAACCAAAAAAGGAACCAAGTCATTATGGAGTCATTGCTCTTTGCTATCTTCTGCAGCTTAGAGCCTGACAGAAGAGGTCAGATCCAGGGCATTAAAGCACCTTTCAGAGGACGTAAAATTATTTCCGTGCAGCTTTTTTACAAGTCCATCTTATCCAAAGGCTGTGTTGGCCAGTTACACCACTGAACATGCTGGAGGCAGCATGAAGGAGGACTCTTCAGGCAAGAGGTGCTACCAACAGCTGCATCCTTTTGTTTCTCTACATCCATGCTTTGAAACTTACTTTTTTTATGTGGACAAACTGGCGGATATCCATGTCATCATCTCTGTTCTTGACATCAGGCCGTACAGTTTGAACTACCTGGCAGACCACAGGTACAATGATATCCCTCCAGGACAGGGACAGAGACTCATTGTACAGAAGCTGCTGAAGCAGTGCCATCATGTGGTTGTGATTAGCAGACCTGTAAAAAAGGCAAAACCACCAGATTTCTTGTGAGAAAAAACTAGAGCAGTAATTAAAGTCACTTTTCAGAAGTAAATTCCTTAACATTTACAGTGCAGGAAATCCTCTGAAGGAATTGCTGCCTAGAAAGTTCTACAGTCAACTCTGGTCCTGTACTTCAATATACTAAAAAAAAAAAAACAAACCACGGGGGGGGGGGAAGGAAACAAACAACCAATCAAAATATACTGTAAAAATGCTGTTTTCGTAATGCAGATTAGTTCCTTGTATTGTCCACTAAAAATCATCAAGATCAAATCTCACTGAAAGCTGGTGGAATAGAGGGGCTTCAGGAATTGTTACTCAAAATATGCAAATTCCTTTTCTCTACATGTTTCTTACAGGAGCCTTTCCATGGCCTGCTTCTCCCCATTCTCTTCTCTCAGCAGATCCAGATTGCTGTGGTGCCAGCCTAGGGGCGTGAAAAAGAGTTCTTTGGACTTCTCCTCCACCCTCCTGTTGAATAACGACTCTGCAAGAGACAAAAAACCTTGTTAATATAAGGTCACAGTTGAATGCCTGCATCTTACTGAAAGGCTACTTTGAAAACAAAAGAATTTACTAAGACATTAAGTTCAAGCCTCTTGAAATACTGAGTCTAAGACATCATGGTAACATGACACAGCAAACAATGTTGAGTATAACAGTAGTGAGTGTACAAAGCAAGAGCGAGCTACTAAAACTCTTGTACTGCCTGTATAGAACATACTGTTTTCTCTTCTGGAATTGAACTGTTACGAAGTTTGTTAAGACAAGGAAAAAAATTTATAGGCAAAATAGGGATACATGATATGCAGCAAATCCCAAATAACTTGTATATTCATACTACTTAATCATAATGTCTTTGTAATTAGAACATTGGTCAGAGGCACTAATTTGATGCACAAAAAGCTGCTGCTTTGAAGACATCTACATGTAAGTGTCATTAAAAGATCTAGTTATTTTATTCAGGCTGCAGCACAAGCATCAAAAACATCTTGGTAAAGGCCTTGTTTAGCACATCTTCCAAGCATATTTTAAAGAAATGCTACGCTACCAATTCACATGTCAGACCTTTATGTGTCTTGCAGACCTGATCCCAGACAACTCTTTACTGCTCAGGTACGGAGGGAGCTGCCAGCAGGCTGGTTCATCTAGCCTATATCACAGTATTTAATACTACAGAACTCTCAAAGATGTTCTGTCAAGAAAGTGGCACAGATTTTTCAAAAGATCTCAGCACATCTTCTCACCTCACCGTAATATACACAGGTATCTCTCTGCCACGATAAACAGGATGCTAATGAATGCTGTATCCACTGAACAAAATTTCTTCAATCCTAAATGTCAGCATAAACTATAGCCACTTCGGGTTTTGGAAACAGAAAGCATGTTTCAACAGTGTAAGACAGTCCTCACTTGGGGAGGGGGCCTTCTGCTTTCAATCATTATATCATGTAGCAACCCCTTAGAACTGTTCTCTGTTTTGGAGTATCAAGATTTCAGCACAGTACTCTGCGCTTTGAAGAGTTACTAGGTTATTTCCCCACACAGGTATTACAATATTCTAAAGGGAAGTTATAAACTTCGCCATTCTCATAATGGCTGATTATATTACAAGTCATTTGTGCTAGTAGGGCATAAACTGTCTTCAGCAAGTGTGCAAGCCTTCAGAGTTAAGCTTAAAACTTCTCAAAGTGCATGATACAATTGCAAAATCCTTATATAACAGTAATCTGAGCAGGACTAATGAAAAAAATCAAGATGCTCAATGCTCAAAATTAGCTGTATAGAAAATTAACAGCAGTTACACTGTTTCTTCCTCTTTCCTTTCTCCTGCAAAAGCTCACTTAAAAACTAAGCACTAGTTTAATCAAAGACTTTATTTTTCTGCATGCACAAACATTGAGGTTTCCCTCTTACTTCCTCCTCTTCTGAGCTTACCAAAATCAACAGCGTTAACTGGGAGAGAATAGCCCACAGGAGCACCTGGCCATGATACCAGAAGGCACACGGGTTTTAAAACTCACAACTGCTTCTAATGGCCTTTCACTTCAGAAGCAGTGGTGGTGGTGATGATGACAGGAAACCCCAAAAGATTTAAGAGATGAAGCTTTAAGCTACTCTGTAGAAGCAGTGCAATTAACCATATCACATCTCCATTTGCCTGCACAGAAGGTTAAAAAAAAAAATCAATGTCTGTTACATAAGCTTGTGGGTGGGGAAGTTGTGAACAGACTTGCTACTTAATTAAAAAAAGAAAAGCTCTTCTTTGAGTGCTTCTGAATGAAGACATCTGAGAAGTGAAAGAAGTTTAAGCTTGAAAGTGCATTCAAAAAAGTCAGAGTATAGTTTACACATCAGTTTAGCCACAGATAAGTTCAGATTTACTACCAAGTAAATATTTCTAAAGGGTCAATGCCGTAATAAACGAGTAATGAGTTTTCATCATTACATTAAAATCACACAACAGCAACATTTGAAGTTTCTCCTTACCTTTAATAAAAGCATCACTTATAGAGAACATCTGCTGCCCTCCGTTTTCAGGATTCAAGTACTCTGAAAGGAGAGAGAAGAGGGAGATAGGCGGAGACAAAAAAAATGACAGGTTACACTGGTGCGCCCATATAATTACAATGTGCACACCCACACCAGAAGCTGCAGCATTACTCATCTACATGTTTAGTCACCAATTTAGCAAGAGCTTGATGAGTGGTCAAGACAAGAATATCCTCTCATTCTTGTTCTATCAAAAAGTTCTAAGATGACAAGAAAATAGTGCTGTGAAGAAACAAAACAAAGGCATGAGCAAAGACTGAACTAGGAGTTAAAGGTTTGCTTTTCCAACTGACCCACACCACGCTTTCCTAGATCTGAATACAAATGTGTTAATCTGTGAGCAGACACCGCAGGAGCGTCCAAGCAGGGAACAGCCTCCTCACCCTGCTCTAAAAATGCAGCTTCAGAAGCCATTTTGCTCTCATACTCCAATGACATATCTCAGACTGAGGGAGAGACAAGCCACAGTGGTCTTACACACTGAAGGAAACAGAAGACAGTCTTGCCTTTCAAGAGCTGCAAGTCTAAAGTCTCAAACAGTTTAAAGTGTTTTAAGGAATCCATGCTGACAGAGGTGTACTTCAAGCAACAACAGAAAGCAAGAGTCATGTATCACTTTACATATGGCAAATAGGATGAGGGTCTATCTACTACATTTGTTTAGCCTGCTAGATTTTGACCTTTCAAGCAGGCTGGGTGGCTACAAAAAGCTTGTTTTCTCCAAAGGCCATTAGCTTGTTGTGCCTTTGGTTGGTTCCTTGCTTCTACAAAAAGGAATTGTACAGTGGGAAAACAAGAGCAATAGCCCAACTGCTAATACAGCATGATGATTCAAAGTCCAAAGCTAACCCTTTCCTGAGAATGGTCTAGACCTACTGTCACAAACAAAATGCAAAGCCACGCAGCCTTCAGACACCAGCAGAAAGCAACAGAAAGTTGACAGGACACAAGCAATCACAGGTCTCTAAACAGCAGCACTGAAGAGACTCCTTACACATCACCAGTTTAAAAATCTGAGCTTGTCTGCAGTTGCCCAGTTTGCAAACAGACAACAGATGAACAGTGTACCAAAGAGAAGCTGCAAGCCTTCCTTGCAGCTTGATGGTTATTTGCAGATTCCTTTCAGCTCTTGCTTAGATGAAGAGTTTAGCATTACAAGCAACCTACTGCTTGATAAAAACTGGCTCACCTTCTGCATTCAGTAATCCACAGACGACCTACGGAAAGACCTGCCACGCTGTACCTACACATGAGCATGTATACCAGCACCTCCATCACCCTCCACCTTGCAACAGCCCCAGGGCAGCAGCTCTTACCCTAAGCACTGATATCCCTGCCTGGCATGGCCAAGGCAGGAGCTACCCCCTGCCGAAACCTAACCTTAGTTATGGTCTGGATGATTGCACAGGTGGCACCTCCAAACCAGGAACACTTCAATACAGCTTCACTTCCTATAACTTTGCTTCAAATGTTAGGAACTCCCCCTGGGCAATACGATATCTGTTCAATCCAGAAAGAGGTATGGTAACACACTCATAGGTGCAAGTTTGAGACAGCAAGAGTGCCTAACAGATTTCTTACCTCACATCATTCCTACATGCATCATGCTCCTCAGAGTGTCGGCAGGGGAAAGAGGTTCTTGCAGCATTTTTTTTTTTTGTAGCCTTGTCTGCAAGCAGTTAGCTATCAAGAGACTATCTTGCAAACTCCCCTGAACAGCTTCACCAAAACAAAAAGAACCAAACAATCCCACCCCAGAACACGCAAATTCCTAGGTCTGATATTCAAGGGTACCATTGGAATCAAATACCACAATGCACACAGAAATTCACAGGTCTCCAACGTAAACCAGATTTCTTAAACCTTAAGGCTTGCTCTTGTTAAACATCAATACAGACTGGCCAGCAACCACATCTTTTCCTCTAGATACACAATCAAGGATGCATGTATTCACAGATACCCACTGAAAACTGAGGTGCACCTTTTCAAAAGAAGTGCACCAAAATGGCTCCTGGCAATGGCATGCTAAACCTCAGCAAGCAATGGTGATAAGGAATTGTGTCATGGTTACTCAGATCCTCTTCTCTCACACCCTCCTAACTAGAGGCAGGCATCCAAAACTAGCTAACCAAAATATCTGCTACTAGGAGTAAGAATATCTGGCTGCAAGCACATTCAGAAAATAAAGGTTACCATATTGATAATGACCTCTTCAGAAACAGCAAAATAAACCCCACATTTTAAATAATCACGTAATCTCTTCCCCCAATTTAAATGCAGAAAGCAATCTTACTTTGTTTCCCATTTTGATACACTCTATAAAGTGCCATTGTTTTTAGGCAGATGATACTATAAATGAGTCACTATACTCACTCGTAAGATACTACGAGCCAGCTAACTTGGAGTCACCAGAATTTCATGGAAACACACCAGACATTAGTCAGTCTGTAACATCACAAGAAGTCCTGCCATTAGACTATATACAAACCACTGCGTTCTACACCACAGCTGGTACATCACAGCCCCTTGTTTCAAAGCAGCTGACCTTTGTGACTGGTGGAAGTTGCATCTCTCTTAATCATTTGAAAAAACCCACTAACCACTTAGCTCAAAGTTGACCTGCACTGGTGTTCTGTCCTGCCAGTCCTCCCCCAGTGATGGTAATTTACAGTTGTGAGGAAATTGAGTTACTAGCCTCATAAGGTGGGTGTGATCTTTAGTTTTACTTCACTATTTCAACAAAAATTAAGTCATTGTCATCCTGTCTAAGGACAAAAGATAATTCCAATGAAATGAAGCCAAAAATACGTGTCCATAATGGTTATAGGGAAGTTGCTGACAAAAAAAGTGCAGTAAGTCCTCTGCATTTAGATTTTTTTTTAAAATGTAGAATAATACCTACTTCTCCATGATGCATTTAAACAACTCACATCTCCACCCTACCCTAGTTCTAAGTATATTACTGATACTTTCCCCTCAAGGGAAATCCATTCTCTTAAAAGGAATTGTTCCCAGTTTTCTACTACTAATTACACTCGTACAGAATAACCTGGTTAAGAGACCACACATTCCAGGAACAGATAAAAAAAACCAGTCAGCAGAGATTCACCAAAGATGGCAGATTGCTGCCAACATATGTAATACAAAGGCAGAAGTGTCTCTCAGTCCTCTCACCACTTGCCTTTTCTGCTGATCTTCTCTGCACTCTCGATTCTCACCATCTTTCTTACAAGAGCTTCAGTTCTGGCTATGAGAACTCTTGATTTGCTCAACAGCTTCTGGTAGAAGTAGGCTCCCTTATGTTTACCCTTCATCATCTACTGCTCTTTGTGTAAGGAGATAAAGACTGTGATATGTGTGAAACCAGGACTATCATTCTACAAGCCCTTTAACACTGGCCAGAACCAAAATGACTACTGCCTGCTCTGCTGCCTGATAAAGATAAACCTGCTACAGCTGTAAATTCATAGGATACTGCAGCACACCTGGGCCTGTTTCAACCTCACTTAATCCAGCATCCCTTCTTCCTCAAAGGATATCATTGATATATTCTCCCTCTCCACACCTTTCCTTGCCTGCAGATGCATTAGCTTTCCCTTTGATTACGGCTACAGCTGGAAACCAGCTAAAAGGAACCAATAAGAAGATGGTGTCAGTAGTGTTGACAATCTATCCCTATTGTTGTGTTGTCTGGCACCATCTGAAATTTCAAGCTTGCTCTGCTCCTTTCTTTTACAGAAAAATAAGGGTTAGATATCCCTTCTTCTAGACATATTTTTGGTAAATAATGAATGGTAACTACAATAGGTACTGATAAATGACCTCTCTAATTTGTCTCACTCTCTCTCCCATGTCTAACATACTTCGAAAGTCAGTTGTGACCAGTTCTCCTCCCTCCCTCTCTTCAGTGACCACTTCAGAGTTTCAGAAAATGCAATCCGTATGCAAGCATAAGCGAAGTCTTGCATTCCGACCCACAACAACATAGGAGATCAGTTGGACTTTCTAGAAAGATGAATTTGTTAGAAGAAATCTAAATTATTTAACACTGGATCATCTTTTAAAAAATTGGAAATAGTGAAGGGGTGGGGTGAAACACTAATTAAGAATAAGAAACTCCTTAGAAACAGCCCAAGATAGAAGTCTACAAAGCTCATGTAACCTTAGGCAAGGAAGCAGAACAAAGACATCAATTGCTACCCAGCATGTAAAGCAACTAGAATATACAAGACCCAAGCCAGTGGCAAGCCCTGGGTTTCAGTCAGCCCTCGTCCAATTTAGAGAATGCAGTTGTCAACAGGCAGGCACATTATTTTTTCCATAAGGATTTTGCTTATAGCTAGTCTTTCAATTTTGTACTTATTTAGGAGAAAAAATTTCAAAACAAGCCTTCAACACTGAGTATTTAATTTCTTCCTACTTCACTTAAGTGGATCTTCTTTTGAATGAATGTTACACATACGGACTAAGTCAGGCCTTATTGCTCATCAGTAAGATTCTTCTGTCAAATGCAAGCTTATAAAAGTGCAATTAGATGTCAGCACAGAACTGTTCCAAGTTCATTTGTTGTTTGGATGGGGTTTTTTTCTTGATTGCTTTTCTACCTTAATCTCAAACTGTAGAGACATATACCAAACTGGTTTATGCACGGATTATTTTTCCACCCCAGTTAGCCAAAAACTGTATATGTGGATCTGCCCTATTATGTATGGGCAGGAGACTACTTCAGCTGCAAAGAGAAAGTCACAGGGGAAGTTACACACGCTGCAGAGAAGGTGTTTCAACAAGTCTGAGCCTCCCCAGAGGTGACCATTTCAAAACTGCAAGCGAGTGCCAGCTAAACATCATCTTTCCCCTCTGTAAGACAGCTACCAAAGTAGTGTCCAAATGGGTCAGTTTTACTAGGGCCCAGCTCTCCATCATGTGCAACTCCAGCTGGTGACTACCTCATACCTTTTTGGTCGGCAGGGTGAGGGGGCACATGTGGGTACTTGGAGTGCTTCTTGATATGGAAGTTCACGTTGTCCATCTCCACGTTCAGGCTGATGGAGGCGGCTGAATCACTGTCCACTGTGGACTGGAAGCTGCTGACTGAAGTGCGCTTGCTAGGGCTGGCAGAGTCTTTTAGTGTTGGGTAAGGGGGAAGATACAGGGAGGAGAAGGGTTCAAATGGGTATCATGAGGGTACCGGAGAGGAGAAAAATAGTCTTTAATACATAAAGACCAGTGTCCAATACTACAGGAATACAGTATTTTCATAGTTCTAGTCTTATCTTCATGTGTGCATGCTGACATACTGGGCATTCTTTAGTGCATAACTATAGGGCCCAAATGAAGCAGAAGTTTGCCTGAGAAACAGAAGGCAGCAATTTACATGCTTCTCCTCCATTAGAGGTATGAAGCTTTACCAGTTCCACTAAATACAAAATACTGTATCCATCATAAGAAACTGCAGGACTAGATGGGTTACAGTTTGCTTAGATCCTTACGGCCCCATGCACACACATACAAACACACACACACATAAAGCAGGACATGGTTAAACTACTATGTCCAGAAGGACTGGGGATAACAGGGGAGAAGTCAGAGTGAGAACAAGACTCAGGTGAAACTCACTGGCTGAGTTATCTTCTCCTTCATCAGCAATCTGCTCTGTGTCACTGTCATCAAACTTGATGTCTTTGAACCAGGATGGCTCAGAGTGTCCCTCTACTGAGTTCACAGAGTCACTATCTGGAGATGGGGTTTCTGAGAACTCTGTGCTCTAGAAGACAAGGGGGGAAAAAAAAAAAATGTTAAAGTGCAGCTCTGCTGAAACATTAAGCAGCCTTAGAAAGCAGTCTGTTACAAATGCAGATCAAATGTTTTTAAAGTCAGAGGATACTCGCAGTAGGCTGAGCCAGGTTGGTCACAGAAACGTCTCTCTTGGCATGAAATAGGAAATCTTTGGGACAGGAAACAAGTATTTCTTTACACTTCCCATGTGCTTAGTCTCTGCCTCCTCTCCACCTCCACAGAAGTTGTGACTAAGTGGCAAGTTTATTCTATTGCATATTTTCTGTCACCACATCCAGCTGAGCAGTTTTGAATGCTTCCTATCCCCAGCAAAGGTGGGTGATGACTATATCCTTTGCACAGAAACCAGCACACAGAGCTTTTGGTGAAGGCTAACTAATCTACTGGAGCAAATGTATGACTGATCAAAGTAGTTCTAAGTTTCACTCACAAGTCAGGCTCTAGCTGGAGCTACTGTATCAAAGCAAACGCATCTAAGCAATTGCCATCAGCCATCCTGATGCCTCCAGTCACCTCAAGAGGAAGTTCTCACTATGATTCTTTTGGCTACAGTGAGTGCAGCAAGCAACTGAGTCAACAACACTGTTTCTCCTGATTCTTCTCCAGGAGAAATGAGCTCAGACAGTGCTTTCAGCTGATGAGAATAAGATATGGCTTTAAACCTTGAATAATGCAAGACCCTTACAAATAGTTACAAACAAGGATCCACAAGCGCTTGCTAGTTAAGAGCAAGCTTTTAATAACAAACTGAAACAGTGCAGTTAACTAGCTGAGATGCCAGATGAAGCCCAGTGCAATCTCAGTGGAAGACCATGTGACTGTGGCCAAGAGCTGAAATGCACAAGGAAGGCAAGATGCTCATGGCTGCAAGCTTTCTGTCTGAGGTTCATGGGACAGCTAAGCCATTCTTTGTTCTGAGAAGCTGCAGAACATGGAATACCCTCAACTGAATGCTTTCAGGTAACAGAGGCTACAGAGATATCTTGCTCAAGTTAAAAAAAAAAAAAAAAACCAAATCCAATCACTTAGGCCAATGACTGCTCTTACCCCACAGCAAGTTTGATTGCTATGAAATACAGTAGGATAGCATCTTAGGAACCATAGGTCACTGGTTGCCTGCCTCCCCCTCAGTTAGCCAGTCCTGTTTGGGAGGCATGACAAAGACCCCCTCCTAACCTTGCATCATGTGGTTAAGGTATTGAATTCTTTTATTACTGCCATCACTGGAAATCAGAAGAAGGTTACCAATACAATTCATAAGAAGATCCAATACTGTATATCTAAAATATCCATTCTTTAGAAGTTTTTGAAGAAGAAATTTTGAAATGGAAGACCACCATTGTGTTGCAGCCACCAGTAAATGCACACAGATTCTCGATTCTGCACATTACAGCACAACTGCCACAAGCACAGACTCTGCCATCCCAAGGTCTCTGTGGAAGACGTCCACCATGAGAGGCACTGACCTAGATTAGATACCCTTTCCTCCACTTCAGGCAGTGTTATATGTAACAACTCATCCTCCATAGAGGACACCCCCAAAGGTTTCTGGGCAAATGCAGCTTCCTCAGGCTTTAAACAACTATGGAGAAAGGTCTGGACCCCAATTTTCTGTACGGAAGAGCTGATTTAGAAAATGCACAATGCCTGCTGAGAACAGGGTTAGAAAATATTCTAATCAGCAGCCAAACCCAGAAAGACCAATAGCTTTCCCACTTTTTTTTTACCTGTAATGGTCTGTAGAGAGCATACTCATCTCTGAAGAGCTGATCATGATGACTGACACATTCTAGCCAGCGTCCATCAACCAATGCCTGTCCTATTGCAATAGCTTGGACCCTGGAGGTATAAGAATAGTGATGGTTTCCTAAGCCCAGTCCTAAACACACATGGTTTATGGTACAAGCATGCTACAAAAGAGCCATTTGCTATGCACTACTTGACTCATCAGTACCCCACTGCCATGTTTAACCAGACATTATTTAAAATATTGCGGAGAGGCAGCAGAGTGTACTGGTTCAAGTATGGAGCTAGATGAAGAGACTGACAATACTCTAAACTCAGCTGAGTTGTCCATCAGACAATTAAGACGTCTGTGCTCCTCTAATACTGTTAGCTTGAGTTATACATACTGAGCATCTTTGCTGAGTAAGGACTATTGCTCTACACTTAAGAACCATCTCAGTTTTATCCCCCTCACATAGTTAAATACACTAGGTTCTTTATACTCACTTACAAGGTTAAGAGCCTACCAGCCCCACCAAAAATTTAGCTATCAAACACTATTAGTCATGTCTGATCCCAGGGACAAACTTGCCCTTTGGACTATCAGCAAATATTTCTGGACAGTCTTTGAAATACACTCACTGTTCTCCAACAGTTTGGGTCATCCTTGTCCCATTAGCTGCCTCCCACACCATCTCCCAAACCATACAGCCCCATGTGTCCTGTTGGTTTGGGCCACACAGAGTCAGAGCCCTACCTGTTTCGGTAGGCAGTAAAGAAAATATCTGAATTTCTTTTCTTTCTCATCTCCTGGCAAAGGGATCCATCTCTGCAGTCTAGGTACCCTATGTCAGCTAAAACTCACAGACTCCTATCACAGAGACAGGAGACGCCCGCTGCCCTAAAGCATCAGGGTTACCTTGTGGTTATGTGCCCATTTCTGATGAGCCAGTTGACCAGCTCTTTTCCCACAATGCAGTTGGGATGTGTCCGCAGCCAGTAGCGATGGTCTTGAAACTCCATCCCACTGTTGTGATGGCAGATTTTCTTCCACAGGTCTTTCAGCTGGACTGAGTCCTGGACAGGGAGATGTGCAAGTTACTTACTAGTCTAACCTTTGCACTGGTTTCAAGGGCATCAACCTAGGCCCTCAGATCAGCTTCTAGAATAAGAGCCCTCCACAAACAGGCACAAAAAACTAAGCCATTCTGCACAACCTATGTGAAGGTGCAAACAGAAGCAGCAGACATGAGATCAGCTCCTTATATCCTTCCTTTTACATTAAGTCAAGAGCAAGGAATAAAAAAACTAGGTACCCTCAGAGTTAAGGGGTTTTTGGTTTTAATGTGGCAAGATTTTGTACTGCCCTCTTGTACCCTATTCACAAACTCAGGTGGTATGTATAGAGGCCAATGAAACTCATCCTTTGGAAGACGGTTTTTCTGAATCATCTGTGCTCAGCCTAGGTTTTGTGAGGCCTACTAGTCCGTTATCAAGCCCAGACATAATGACACACAGCAACGCACACTGCTGCATTCAAGTGCTGGGATACCATTTCTAATTGAGAATTCCTTTTTTATTGTCAAGTATCAGGCCTTTTTTAGACACTGTTATCTTTGGCCACTATGCAAAAAAGGTATACCCCTCCCCCCGACCCCCAGCTCAATTAACCATTTTTGAACCTGTGGATTTTTTCCCCTCACCATTTGGAACACCTCAGCCTATACCTCAAACTTGTCTTTCAGCCTGTTAAGCATGTGCACCAACTCTTGTGTAGGCTACGCTCCATCCAAACTGAGCTGTCTCTCTGTACCTGGCCATTTTTGCTTTCCCATATGCACCCTGGCTTTGCAACAGTGGATTGTGCTGTGCCGAGTGCAAACTGGGAGCTGGGATTATTTTGAGAGAGGAACAGCGCGCTCCAAGAGGTGCAAAGAGACACTGCAGCTGTCTCAAATGTCTCATTCTATTTTTGTGTAACAGAGGGAAAAGAAAACTTTAATTAAATTTTAACTGGTTTCAGCTTTCCAGTTAACTGCCAGACCCACATTATTGCACTCTGCCAAGGGTGCCCTGAGATCCAAGAGTTTTGCTCCACTTCTGTTACTGGACTGGCTTTCTGCTTTTAATTCCAGCAGTGGGTGTCCTGGTTATTATCCTAAAATCAATGTCAGCAGCTCCCCTTCTGTACCAGGTATAGAGTCAAATGGAACCATAACAGAACACGTCATAGGATCACAAGATTTGCTGCAACTGGCAGTTCCACAGTTCAGCTGCCTTGTAGTTTACCGTTAACTTACATGGTGATTTCAGTAAACTGGACAAACTGGCAGAACACAGCAAATCCTTTCAACTCAAGGATTTTGACCTCTAGTTCACAGAAAAATGTGCTTACCCCAGTGTATGTACATCCTCCCCTACCTTTTATTTCATGAGCAAAGTTCATTAGTCTTGTGAATATGCCATGTTAACCTTTAAATTAACTCCTGATACAGAGTCAGCTCCACATGGTAAGGGCATTAAACAAACAGTGCGAATTCACAGAAAATCCTACATTAACTGAACTTGCTTCGGTTCATGTAAGAGCAGAAGATAGAATACTACCAATCCTCTCTCCCCCAAGGAAGAAAACAGTTAAAAAATGAAATAAAGTGAAGCTGAAGTGCACTGGGACTTGATGATCTTGGGCCAAGTTCTGTTCACAGCATTTCAAACTTCATTTTTCCTGCATTAACATACATTCACAGGGCACGCTAGTGTAAAGGCATGCCTTAGAAGTTTCTCCCTCACATGGTTTTCCCACTTACAGTGCACCCTGGAAAGGAGTTATGCAACTGAACAGAAACTGGAGTGTTTCTGCACCCTCAGGAGTACTTGCATGCACTTTGCTAGCAGCAGGCCTAACACCACAGAAATTGGCCTTCCTGATTTTAAATTGGCAATGGGGAGCAATCTTGGATCTTTTAATGCGTGAAAACCACTACCTTCCTTTCTCTGCATCTGTCCTGCCCCATTTGTTGGAAACACTTCCCCCAAAGAAACTGTTTTCTACTGAGTGTTGTACAGTAACTGGCACCTACAACACTGCCTCTGTGTGGAAAGGATAATAGGATTACACAGAACACAGTTACACATTGATTTTTCTTCGAACAAGTTCGTCACCACAACCTTCTACAAAATATTATATTTATTCTGAAAACAAGGGGAGGGGCCAAGTTTCCTTTTGGCCCCATAAGCTGCAACAGCTTTAACTCATTCATCACGGTGTAACCATTTTGAAGCAATCACTGGAAGTTTCCAATTAATGTGGTTTATGAAAGGGAAAATCTGAACTTGGAGAAATACAGAATCAGGTCATTGTGTTACAGCTACAACCATGACAGGTTTAACCCACAAGGAGCCACCATACACCCACTCCACACTGCATAACACACTTCCCAAGACTAAAATTGTAAACACCTTTATGCAAACACCACATGAAACTAAGACTTGTTTCAGGAAGACAGAAGTGTCCAAAGCACCATCAATATCCTCCATCCCTGCACCACCTGGAGGAGGGGTCCAGGTAAGAGTGCTCAGACAAGAGCCTCTAAAGGCAGCAAGATACTCCAGCTGCATGAGATAAGAAAGACAACCTTCATTGTCTTCACAGAGCAAGAGAAACAGAAGCCTGAACGGTACCAGAAGGATTTTGCGCTCATCCTCACTGGTCTCTGCCTTCATATGTGTGCGACTGGCCTGGGGGCTGACAGATGTCTCGTAGGCAGGCACCATTGGTGAACCCGAACGATCCAGGGACAGGTTAGTGATGCTGGCTGATCTGTAGGGGAAGAGAGA